TGTCTTGTCAGGGTAAAACATAGATGCTTCTGTTGCTCAGACATATTGGGATCAGCATACTGTCAGCTTATACTCTGTCTTTGGCTGAAGCGATAGGGCCTTGGCTGTGTCTTTCATGCAGCCAACGACTTCGAGTTGCCGTATGAAGGCATGATCAGTAGCTGGTGTTGGTAGGGAAACTATTTACAGCTTGAATCAACCTCTGAATGTGTCACTAACGGAGGCGAGGAATGTATTCTGTTTCGAGGTGTCTCGAGTGAAGGGGTTATGATTGACACACTGTGAAGACAATCCACCAGTATCCAATTCCACATGAGAATTCAACCAAATTCATAAGAGTAACTCTGACTATACAAAGATAACCAAAGCATCTGCCCGGAGATTGACTCAGATGTTCGCGCCGACTCCATAGCAAAGAGCGAGTTCTGAAGTGTCTTCGGCGGTCTTACTGAACTAATCAACTTGTCACATAGCCTGAGGACTTCAGTATATCATCAATTCCACCGCAAGGATTACAAGAACCCAGAGTTCAACGTTACGGTGCTCTCAACGAGGATCTATGTGACTTCGACACCTCAACAAAGAACAATATCACTATAGAGGCGGCAATACAAGAAACTCAGTATATTAACTCTCACTTCAGCATGTCCTCGTGGAAACTCAACAGAGTGCCTTGGCCTTAGTGCTCACACGATGTTCTGTGAGCGGGACAAGTGGGCACCCAAACACGATCCAGAACACATCACAAGTCAAGAGTTCTCGTAAGTATAACGGCAACAACAGCTGAAACGGTAGACACATGACTTCATTTGCTTGTGTTTTACCGGAAGTCGATACTTGGATGCAGACTAACCTCTCCAATTCGAGCCAGCCTCAACAGCCATGATGGGGGTAATATCTCAGCCTAGTGGCTTTTTCCGGAGAGATTCTACGTTATGTGGGAGTGAGTAGTGGTGTCTGGTGCATTCGAAGACGAATTGAATAAGTACACGAGTCGAGAAGCATGCATGAATTAAACCAATGAACCGAAGCGTCTCTGGCAGGGCTGATTGCTGTCGCAGACATGCGTAATGCCGGCCGAGGACAACTTGAGGTTATGTTGAAGTTCAGGTTAGGAAAACACCAAGGCAACAGATGATCCTGTAGGACTATAACTATGATTTGCACCATCATAGTTTCCACGCAAGGTTGTTCACCTCGTCCATTTCATAACCCAGGTCGTCGCCTTCCAAGTGTCCGCGATGCCCTCTTTTCAGACCCTACTTTCACTGTCTCGACAAGACTCGATCATCACGTACATGCTGCGTCCATCGGTCACTGTCGATGGATTACTGCCCAGCCCCTATTTGTTGTGGTCAGCGAACTCTCACAGACGTCTAAGTCGCCTAAAAGAACAACGTAAGTGACTTTACGTCACCTCAGTAGGGTTCGCAGCTGGATGTTTCCTCCTCCTTGCTTCCGAGCTCCCCATTTCAAGTGCTTGATCAAGTTGACGGAATCTCAGACATTGTTGGCCAAGTTCCCAGTCTCGTCCATCAGCGGACGGGCTTCAACTACTGCTGTTGGCCAACGATTGCAGGGCTGGCGGGTCGGACTTCCTGCCTGTCATCCGGCATCAGCTTGGACTCGTTACGACTTAAGAATATTTTGATGCCGAGTTCTCTGCGGCGACCTAGATTGTGAACTGCTATCGATCAGAGCCGCACGAGCTCATAGTGGCCATCATGTATCATGTAAGCCTGATTGTCGCGACACCGGAATACAAGGGCTCTTTGACAACGTGGTCGGCGAGCTGTGCTACATTCCGGTAGGTTATTTGCAGGCGGTTTCTTCCAGCAGAAGGCTGCTAACCATACTGTTTGCTGACCGCACCGGGTTGTTGCACTCGCAATCGTAAGCGTATGTTTCGGCAACGAAATGGGCCACGCGACTGACACAGCAATAGAGTTCGACAAGATGATGAAAACTCTCACGTATTTCCTTTTGAGTCCTTCGTACCCGAAAACCGAGAACCCTGGGGTCTTGGAGGCATTTGAGGACATGGAGTCATAATTTAGAATCTTTCCCTACCTTTCACGAAGGCATTTGTGATGGTGATTTCAGAGAAGTTACAAGAAGACAGTTGGCTTACTGAGAAAGTGTTATTCATTATTGGGACCCATAAAGAGTGTCAAAATTAGGACTGGATGAAGTGAGCCCCCTGAGGTCTGTCCCAGTAGCTGAAGCTTAGAGAAGTCAGTCCGCATTGGACCATATGACACAAGTTACCCACCCTTAAGAACAGTGGTTATGAAAAACGACAAGTGATTAAGACAGAGAAACCCAGAATCCTGACAATTAACACGAAACGGAATTGAATATCAAGAGAATGAGTATCCAGGAGTGGCTGCGTGAGGAATCGTTCAGCGACACGCACCTGTATCGTCACATGGAGAAGAAGCTCATGCCAGAGCCAAGGTCAAAGTAATGGGGGAAAAAAAAGGAAAAAAAAAAGTTGCCTTTTATGCCTTAGGGTTTAAAAAGAATCATTGATTGATTGACAGCGGCATGAAGTATGCGCTTGGGTCGAGATATGTTGAGTGGTTATGTTGAAGTGCTGTAGCGAAGCGTAAAACGATGCTTTACTCAGATATATGGCTTATGTGAATTTGGACTGGATAACGGCATTGGGATGCTTTTGAGCTGTCTTATCATCTTATCGCTGATGGCCCGTGCTTACGGTCATGTGCCCAGAGGCGTGACCAAAGTTTGTCCCGCTAGCCGAATCGCGAATGGACTCAGCCGAAAGATTCCTGCCCGCGACCTCACCCGAGCTGCCCTCAGCAACACATCCCCATTGCCAGCTCAGCCCATCATGAACTCCCTTCGCATCGCGCGTGCGGCTCTCCGAGCTCGCCCTGCTGCCATTCGCGCCCCCCTCCAGCGCCGAACCTACGCCGATGCCGTCCCGGACAAGGCAAGCACCGCTGCAGCCTCCGAACCTGTCCCCGAACACCCGCTGACGATTTGCAGATCAAGCTGAGCTTGTCCCTCCCCCACCAGGTACGAATACGATGTCCTCCGAGATGAACTGAACCGCCGCCGGGTCGACGACAACACCATTGAACGAATGATGCGCCGGAGGAAGCCAATTGAAGGACTCGGAGCTAATTGCCGCAATACAGTCCATCTACAAGTCCCAGGATGTCGTCCAGGTCAACATCCCCGCCGCCTCCGGTGAGATGGGTGTTCTCGCCAACCACGTTGCCTCCATTGAGCAGCTGAAGCCCGGTCTGGTCGAGATTGTCGAGGAGAGCGGCCCCAGCAAGCAGTTCTTCCGTACGTGCAGCTTCCGCAAAGCCGAGCTTCCAAGGGATATAGAATGAGGGGACTGATGTTTCTGTAGTGTCCGGTGGATTCGCCGTCGTCCAGCCCAACTCCGTCCTCAGCATCAACGCCACCGAGGGCTACCCCATTGAGGACTTCAGCGCCGAGGCCATCAAGTCCCAGATCGCCGAGGCCCAGAAGGTTGCGAACGGCAGCGGCAGCGAGCAGGACATCGCCGAGGCTAAGATCGAGTTGGAGGTCGGTCACTGGAAGAGCTGCCATTGTTGTGAAAATGCTAACTGACGTGATTAGGTCCTCGAGAGCCTCCAGGCTGCTCTGAAATAGAGAGTGTAAAAGCAGGTCGTCGGAGAAATGACGTTGTACATCAAAGACTCGGATTCCCTAACTCATCTAACATCGCATAATTGAATCCACGTGCGACGTTCCAACGCTCTTACCTTAGCCAAATATGCGTGTCGTGCTTTCTGCATTTGCGTCATGCGTTGAACGGTCCTTCCGTCTCGTGGGTAGTTGATGCTGCTCAATGTGCAGTTGACCGCTACCCCCTTCCACGTTGCAGCCCCTGCCCGAGTTCTAACCTCCATAAATACCTTATCCTGACCTCACATGAGGCAATTTCTTTTCCCTAGGTAATGTACCGCATCATTCGACAAACAGCATCGTTCATCAAACCCCCGCGACCCATCCATTATAGTACTGTTTTACACTTATCCCAACATCGCACAGTCACACACAATCACTCGCCACTATCTTCTAGCATGGATTATCCCTTCGTTGCCAATTACCGAGAACCTCGATCTGACGTTGTCGTCTACCAGTCTGACGGGCAGTCGGACGGAGACGACGTCCCAGAGGGCTTTGTCTCCCAAAGACGCCTCAAGTTTGCGAAACCGCCCCCCCCTCGCCTGGTCAAGCGGAGGCCGTCGACACCAGACTCCAGAGAGCGCGAAAGCTCTCGGTTCGGCTAGGGTCAACGAGCCGACAAGATCTTCGCCAGACCAGCGACTCGCAACACTCTGGTCGAGGAGGCTCAGATTCCATCTCAAGATCATTCCTTCCTTGGATGGGGTCCGGAGGGCGAAAGCCGGGGCAAACCTCGCGATGCCAAGGCAATATTGCTGCGACCGCAGCAGTCAGCTTTCTTGACACCTCCCAGAGCTACCAGTTTGGATCCGTCGCAGCTTCGTCAAACAGCATCAACTGGCCGGTTACGATCCAAGACAAGCACATACAACCGCATTGCTCTCGGTTCTCAACTACCAGTGCGGGAGAGGTCGGGTCGTCTCTTTTCGAACCAGTCCGTTTCTTCCAACCGTTCCCAGGAATCCGAGGTGACTACCTCCACCATTCGAAGGCGTAACGCTCGAGACATGTTCGAAGAGTTCGGAATCTCACGTCCCTCTGGATGGCTTTCTGACGACGAGGAAGAAGATTTCTCACGACACAATGATGGAACCAATAGCATTCCCAGACATGCTACCAACTTCTGCCACTCCTGTGGAGTCGAACTCACGTCTCGGAGTTTCTGTGCCACCTGTGGTCATACGGTGTGTCCACAATGTGCCAGTGAAGTTCTCGATGACGAAGACGACCTTCACCTTACTGAGAGCACTGAGCACACGGTCGTGATACGAGGACATCGCAAAGTTGAAACGACTGAAACATCCTCTCGCCTGGAAAACATAGAATCGTCTAGGACTACTCAGAGGGCTGCAGCCAACTCGGTAGTTCTGAAGAACAACCCCTTCATCCTTGCGGACAAGATGACAAAGGTTACGGCTGTAGAGCCCAAGATTACCGATGTTACCGCTCGCGGAGGAAATCCGGCCAGACTTTCTGACTGCGTGCCAAAGCAAACCGATTTGGCCGTGTCGGAGACTCATGGAGATTGCGGGAACCCCAGATGCAACGCCACACATGCAGGGCACCATTCAGGTCGCCACAGCATCGCGTGTATCGTGGATCACGGAGCGACAGAAACCCAAGTTGAGTCTAACGGCATCTGGACCCACCCTCCGCTGGAGGACCCGATTCAAGGCAAAATTGACAAGATGTACCATCATGCCGAAGACCTCAGGCGAACTCAACACATCATGGAACACCTCGCTGCAGGTTCTGTTGCAACTAACGAGCGTAGTCGGGATCACATCACAACAATGACAGAAGTCCCCGCTTCTCACACATCCAATTCGGAAAGGTTGATCAGCTTTGATACGGCAATTGCTGCACACACCAAGAGCGGCCGAGAGATGCACCTTCGTGAGTGGGAAAGATCTCAGTCCGTCAATGTCGATCCAGTCAAGAAGAGAAGCTCGGATTCCCCTCCCTCAAGCCCGGACACACGACTTCAGACTCCTCCCGAGTGGCTTAGTCCCAAACAAACGTCAGAGGTCACAAGAAGCCGGGTGGTAGTGACGGAGACCGAGAACGCGGAACAAACGGAGCAATCAAAGCAAAGTTTGGTATCAAACGAGTCATCGATCGAGTGGCCGACGCTGAGGAAGGTTACCAAGGAAACCGTGATGGAGACTGAGAAGGCGCCGTTGCCTTGGATGCAACGGCCTTTACGTCGTGTTCAGAAGGAGGAAGACATATCGCAACACGCTCAGGCACAGAAATCAGCCGAGGTTGAATCGTGGAGGTCACAGCTTCGAAAGGTCACAACAGAAGCTGGCCACAACGAAGCATCACATCATGGTCATCGCGAGCGAGCCGAGACTTGCACGACGTGCCATGATGGCACACCCTCACCGTCTTCTGCCGGTGAAACCATCGACACCGAGTCGGAAAAGCAGAATGAAGGATTTCCAAATCTCGCAAGGTCAAAACAACTTGAGGAGGTTCGAGTATCGACGTCTCGAAACTCGAGCTCGACATCGACAAGGAGGGTTGAGTCAGAGACTGTTACTCATGTCTCGCGGACGATGGAAGAAACCCAGTCTGCTTCAAGCTCACACATGGCCGAAGAAACTAGCACTGCGACCACTAGCAAAACCTTCGAGGGAATGCGTGCAGAGTCGACTGAGGTCGAGATCCTCAACCCGGTACCAATCATGCCTTCCAACCACACCTGTGTCTGGAAGGAGCGGTACATGGATTTGACGGCGGAGGTTCGGCATTTGAAGGCGGAGATCGTGTCCAGAGAGAGAATTGGCTTGTCGCTTGCGGACGCAGGCATCACGATCAACCAGGACGACGATGACCTGGGTGTCGAGGGGCTCACCATCGTAATGCATTTGAAGGGCAAAGATGACTTGGTCATCAACACCGACCTGACGAGGGCTTCATCCGACGTATAAGGACAGACTGATTTGACGGTGGAGATTCTGGCATGGAGCGTGAACAGCTCGTTGAGCAGTGCCATGGGATTATGATAGCAGCATACATTATAGAATGAGTGAATCGAACAATATGCGTTCGTATATTTCCTGGCCAAGAACACGGCAACGATGGGCCCCGCGGTTGGTGCCCTCTTGCCCGCGGCTTGGTGTGATATATCACCGGTCTCCTACTTGCCGTGCTCTCAGCCCAACGTACCCGTACCACGGCAGTTGGCATCTAAAACCCTTGGTTTGAAGAGTGCAAATTCGAATGTAATTGTACCAAAATGCTACCTGCACGCCGAGGTCATCTACAAGTCATGCCGAATAATCTAGTCTTCTCAACACGCCAGGTCCTAACAAAGGGCCCAAAAATGGCGGGTCGGGAAATGCAACTGCCTTCGGTCTAAAGGGTATCAAAGAATGCCCCCGAGTCTACCCTACCCATAACCAAAACCGTCAGGACTTGCTCTTCGAAGTCCCGCTTCAGACCGGTTCTGGTTCCTTTTTATGCTGTCGTCTGGGAGATACCATCTTCTCTGAAGAGGATTTAGTGGATTGTCTGTGTTGCAGGTGAAGCTCACAGCGCGGAGACGGTATCGGTGGCGTCCGTGCCGGTGGCCCTCGCGGAGGCGTTCTTTTCAGTGATGGAAACCTTCATGGGCTTGCCCTGAGCCTGCACGGAGAGGCTGAGATAGGCTTCCGCCATCAGATCGCGGGTCTTGCGGGTAAGCTCATCGACGTCGGCGGAGGTCAGGTTGGTTGTGGGAATGGGGTCCAGGACTGCGCGGGAGGGTCGAGTCAGCATATGTCACTTTACACGTTTGAGGTGGGAGGACCAGATGACCTACCCTTGACAGGGATCTTTCCAGAGTTGAAGACAAGGCCCTTGAGCCAGAGGATGTGGCTGTAGTTGGCCGACACAACGGGGACGATGGGCACGCCGGCCTGGACGGCGAGGTGGAATGCGCCCTTCTTGAAGGGCAACAGCTCGGGCTCCTTGGCGTAGCTGCGCGTTCCCTCGGGGAACATGTAGACGCTCTGCTTTCTCTTGCGGATCTCCTCGGCGGCGCCGGACATGGCCTCCCTCGCGTCCTTTGTGTTCTTGCGGTCGATGAAGATGGAGCCGCTCAGGGTCATGAACCAGCCGAGGATGGGCGTCTTCTTGAGGGAGGCCTTGGCGGTGACGCAGCAGTACTTGGGGAACATGGCGCCCAGCATCAGGACGTCGAGCTCGGTCTGGTGGTTGCCGACGAAGACGGCGGGGCGCGTGGTGCCGAGGATGTTCTTGGGGTCCTCGATCTCAAAGGTGATGCCGGTGGTGAGGGCCATGAGGTAGTGGAAGGCCCTGCCGGTGGTCCATTGCGCGATGCCCGGGTTGCCGACGATGCGCAGGAAGATGGAGGCGAAGACGCCGTAGCCGGCGGCGACGGCGAGGCAGATGTACGAGGCGAGGACGCGGGCGCCGAAGGCGGCCTTGGGGACGACGAAGGACAGCATGTAGAGGGCGACGACGAGGGCGGCGTAACCCTTGAAGAAGGTGTAGAGGTAGCCCAAGAGAGCCGACATGGCTACTGCTGGGAAGCTGGGAATCTTTCTGGGCCGGGGCTTGGTAGGTGCGGGCGGGCTGGCGGGCGGCTGCTGGCGTAAAAGGAGACAGGCGCGCGGGAGAAGGGTTCAGGTAGAGAGAGGAGTGTAAAGTCGGGATGGCGGGGCGTTAAGCTTCTTTCGGTGCGCGCCTCTCTCGCCTCTCACGGAGGGGTTGAGATGGTTGAGGAGCTTTCGAGCGCGGGGTTGAGGATCGTCACAAGGGCGCGGAATGAGGGCGACTCGAGCGACGGATCGGTAGGCAGGATAGCACGTAGAGAGAGGGGAGAGACGAGAGATGTTCGGAGGGCTACAGCTTGGGTAGACACATGTTACGGCGACACAATGTGGTTGTAAGCTGGTTGGTCGTAATGTCTCAAGGGGTGAGGGAGTCAAAAGAGGCTCTCACAATGACGATGTAAGGGAACGGGTGGTGCTGGTGGGAGTGCGGTGCAATTCGAGCCGTAAGTACCTTTACGCATCACACGGGGATCGAGGAAACCGAAGCCAAGTGGCAGGACGCACACCGCACCGCAAGCTTCTGGATTGGTCAAGGGGTTCCTCATGGCTCATGCTGGGGGCCTGGTCATGGGTGAATGTGATGGGTCGCACTCTCCAGGGTTCGAGGGGAGGTCAGAAAATGGGTGTGGGGTTTCCCTGTCTGCGTCTCTGTGCTGCGTCTGTCTTCACCCGACTGTCCCAAGAGATTTTTTTTTTGGTGGGATGACTTTAAGGTGCCCCCTCCGGTCGTTGGGGAGGAGGATATGATTGGTCGGGACTAAACTCCACCAAAACGGCCCCTTGCCGGCTTACGGTGGGTGGTACGTACCTGTTGGATAAAGGTCAGCAGTCAACACCGCTTCCTCCGCCGGCTGGGCCTTGTGGTTGGGAAGGGACGAGGAGGAACGTCGATAGATACCTAGGTAGCTTCAGATCTGACCGTTGCTGTATTCCATACTGAGAGAAGAGGCGCTAGGCTTAGTTGCATTTCATGCGTGCTGTCACCAGGCCACTAACACATGTCATCGTCCGGTCTAGCAGGCCCAGAAGACGGACGACCGGACAAACTGATGGCAGGAGTGGCGGGTACGGACAGACATCAGATCTTGGACGGGGGTTTTGTGAGAGTTGAGTTTCTGAGGGGGGAGGCTGGAAAGGGTTGGGGAAGAGAAGAGACCAGACGGGACTAAGTGCTACATACCTGAGAGCACCACCACATGCAAAACCGATGAATTGCATGACATAATAAGACATTCACCTAGCGAGCGAGGCGACACCTTCATTGCCTAGAATGTCTCTCTGAGGTAAGGTAGACGGAGGTGGGGCTGGTGACCTTCGTTGCGTTCTTTCGCCAAAAAGCATGTGGTAGAACCCGACATCTACTGCGAGACGGTGATTGTGTCTCGGAAAAATTCCGAGGCCTCACGGCTTCTTGCTGCGGCTGGCCAGCCAGGGCAGTCTCCGAGTTCTGACCAAAAGATCAATCAGGTCTCAACCGCGTCAAGTCTTCGGGTCCCTTCTCTACGTACATATCATTCTTAATTGAAGACTTCATCACCATTCGATGGCATTCAAGGCAGAGGTACGTACTTGTTTTAGCTTGGCTCGGAAATGCCCACCAGCCCACAAGGTGCTCGCATCATTATCGATATCCGATATCGATAAGAAAGATGACTAAGGCAAGACACTCTGGCCAAGATGTCTCCGGCGCATATCCGCCCAGCCTGGGGTAAGGCATGGGCTCGGCGCCGGTAACTGTCGCCCGATATCGAGGAGCTTCACCTCAGAACACACGACAACCGCCGAGCGCATCGCGAAACCCGAACGAGCTCCATTCCTAATCTCCAGTCCGGCATCAAAGAGGCTTCAAAACCACCATTCGAAACAACTGGTGGAATCAATCACCCCGACCATCGGCGCACCTCTCGGCCGCCGTATGATGACCTCGAACCGATAAGACATCGACAATGCCCTCCCGCCGAGGACCGCCACCCATCTCAGTTCGTTTGCCCGTCGGCAATGCGCAACCCGAACTTCCTCCCATTTCCGCCCTGTTCCTCATCGACTTCGATGTAAAGGCCGGATACACGATTGTTTGGAAGCAATCTGCTCCTGGAATCGAGCTCGAGGGTTTGGTCGAGTACAAAAGTCTGCCTTCCGGCCTGCACACGGTACCAGACGACTTGATCTACTTTGTTCACGATGGTGAACACGCCGGACTGAGCGCATTCGTCAACACGCCGTGCGACGAGGAGGAGGCGCGCCATGCGCGTATGATCGCAGTCGGCGTCCTGGTGCCTTTGAGCTACGGCCGGCTGGGCCGGGCCTGGAGGCACGCCGAGGGCTTGAAGGATATTGCAGCGTAAGCGCGCAAAGAAGCCATACAGGACGACTCCTTACTGACGATGGACAGAAAACTCGCCGAAGATCGCAAGAACACTGCAGTTCTTGATGAATACTGGAAGAACTACAAGGCCAAAGAAGGAGATGAGCAGGACCGCCCGCCTCTGGATTCTCCTTCCATCAGTTTCAGTGCCCAAGCTGCCCAGCCCAAGAAATCGAATCACAACAGAAACCGGTCCGCGTCCGATGGAGCGGCTCTCGGACAGCCGGGTCATCGACTCTCTCCGTATCACCCTGCTTGGAGTTTGACAGACTTGCTAGACACCTTTGGGCCCCTCATCTTCCCCATTCACAGGGCCGCATTGCTTCGCAAACGCATCTTGATATCCTGCCACGCGCCAGTGCGTGAAATCTGTAACTTTGGTAGGTTGTTCATCCCATGTTGTGCTGTCGTTTCGCTAATCAAGTTTAGTGTATAATATTTCGGTTCTTTCCAATATCCCCCAGACGGTCGCGGAGCTGCTAGCTCCGTCATCATCATCACAGCGTCTCAGGCCCTTGTTCACAATCGGCGTCCATGATATCCCGTTCCTAATGGAAGACTTCGAAGCTTCTAAACGCCATAAAGACGACAGCAACGACGGTATCGCAGATGAATCGGGAAGTGGGTGGATTGCTTGCACAACTGACAGCATCCTGGCCATGAAGGACACCCTTTGGGACATGCTCATCACCATGCCCCCGCCTTACGCACCGAATTCCAAGGAAAAGGTCTGGCCGACGGTTGAGTGCCCTCGTGGAGTGCCTGTCAAAGCGACACAGCGTGATCTGCGTCGATTCCGTGCCTTGAAGAGCGGTCTTGCTAGGCTGACGGCTACAACGCCGAGGCCGAGAACGGCCGAAAGCCCACGATCCGAGACCTCGACGAGTTTCAAGCTCACGACTGGTGCCTTCCCCGCCTCTAACCTGGAATCGGACGAGGCTCTGGACAAGATCGTTGAGCCGTTGAGCTGGTCTGCTCTAGCCTACAATGGCTTTATGTGGTGGGCAAGTGCTGGAGAGCAGGCCCGGAGCGAAGAACAAGAGGAGACGGCCCATGATAATGCACTGTTGGCAGATCTGGGTTTTGCTCCTCACACCCCGAGCATGACGATGCCAGGTCCGAAGAAACGATCAAGCTCTGGCGGCATGAGGGATTCGATCGGATCCATCGCGTCACGGCAATCTGTCGGACCTGACGATGATGAGGCTAGAACTGAGCTAGCCGTCATTGCCTACTTTCACCGCTTGACGGCGCAAATGTTCACAGTTATGTCTGACCTTGTTGAGAGCTCCGACGACCGCTATGAAGATGACGATGACGATGAGGAGGCGGAGGACACTCCGCTGAGGCCTGACAGCGAATCCGATCTGCGTCCAGTGCGAGTTGAGAGTCATGCGCTCGAGAGCATGGGGCTTGACGTCTGGAACGCGCACGACGCCGAGTTCGTCAAGGAGCTCATGGCCAAGTACTTTGACCGCAAGCCCTACATCGAGGGCAAAGGAGTGGAAGTGTGCGGAGTGCGCGTTTGCTGAGTATTGCCGAGTAGGAAAGATTCGATCTGCTAGGGCGAGACTTTGATCTCGTCAGTGTATACCTGGGCATGTACGGGATTCGGTTTCCATTCTTTGACGGGCTTAATCGCAGTGGTATGTTTGTAACTGGCTCGAAGAGGTCGCTTAGGCGTTGGAGTGTTTTGTTTTTTCAAGAAAACAGCGCGAGGATTATGTATTGTAAACAGGACAGGTCATTCTCGTGGACTCGGTGAAAGTTTTCGAGAGTTGACGAGGCATAAGAGAGCGACGACTTGTTTGCAGTGTTTTGGTCTGTTTGCATGTTTGGACAACCAATGGCCTCTTATCTCCGTTTGCCTCACAATAATACCAATAACAGTGTGACAGTTTAGCCGCCGAATTTGCTCAACTCGTCGAATTGACAACCAACTGGGCATGAAATCACAAGATAGGCATGGGGGGTATTTTATAGGGCTGACCTGGATCACCCAAGTAAGGGGCGCACACTGTCGAAATGAAGGTCAAAAAGGAGGGGTGTCTTGGGTGAGGGGCAGTCAGTTGGAGGAGGACAACAACGCAACGACGATACGCAATTCCCCGCGGCACGCTTGCTGGGCGAATCTCTCCTGTTCTGCGTGTGTTTTGTGTGGATTATGGAAAGGTCCAGAAGCCAATGTTTTGATCAGGTTCGTCAGGTCCCAAGTTGCCGTGCCGGAACAACAGATGACTTGGCCGACAATTGGCCGGGAAATGTTCAGTACGGGGCGGGCGGCCCAGAAAGCCAGGAACCCCGCCCTTCGGCCTCCCCTCCATGGGTACATGGCAAGCCAGCTCATCTGTTTCTGCCCGTGGACTTTGGGGGCCAGGTACATGACCCCTCGCGCCAATTTAGCCATGGTCTGCAGCAGAGATGATGTACCTTCTGCAGAGAGCCGGGAAGGCGTCTTCAGCTTTAGCGGAGGGCTGCCGCTGCCCGATGACTTCCACTGGACCTGAAGTTTACTTTTTGCAGTGGAGGACAACTGAACACAGACCAAGAGTTGACTCCACTTGTGCACGAGACTCAGGTGCACTACACATTTGCACCGACTTTTTGACTGTGAATGCAGAAAAAAAATAACACAAAGACGACCCAGAGCGACACCACCTGCCATCTCTGGGTTTTGTACGATATCCCCTCAGCCTTGCACCACCGCAACTTTCCCTCCCTCATTCTGCTCAACCAGACACACACAGAGACGTAGTCGACCTACGATCATTGCCGCATCCCATCACATATCGCTTTCCCGCCGTCTTGCTGGCCCGCCTCGCGCTCGTCTCCGACCAAAGTACAGAGTAGTGTACCCCTCGTGTGTGCACATCTTTCCAACGCATCCGACAACTCTCTCTGCCTACGCCTACCTTATCGAACCGAGACGGGCCATGAGTCTTCGGTAGCTGCCTCGCCGCTTCCACGTCAAGCAAGAATGCTGAATGCACAGCTAAGAGGGCTGCCACGATTATAGCAGCATTTTTGATACCGAAAAACTAGCCTGTGTTTTTTTTTTTCTCTTCATTGAAACTTTTCCCGCGATATTTCACACATACATTCGGGGCCAGACTGTCTAGTATGGACGCTCAGGTACGTTTGCAGCGCATATGCCGTTGCTGGGCTATTTTGGCTGCCCAAAATTGTCGGCAAACTGCCCCGCCATTGTGATCAGCATCGTCACCGCATCCCACCACCGCCTCTATCGGCCACCGCCTTCGAATCTTTGTTGACTGTCTCTGCCATGGCAACGGACGCCAGTCCACATTTGCAATTCGACAGCCAAAGACTGCATCTTCACATATCTACATGAGCTAATGCAACTTTACACAGATCGAGAACGCCGTTGAGGCGGCGTTCAACCCCACCAGCGACCAGAATCTCAAGCAGCAAGCCTACGACTATCTGAACCAGTTGCGAGTCGATCCTCAGGCCTGGCAGGTCTGCACTACCCTCTTCGCCCGAACCCCGAGACCCTCCGAAGTCGTCCGTCTGTTCTGCCTCGAGGTCGTCAACTATGCCGTCCATACCCAAGGCCTCGACCGCCAGAGCCTCTCATGGCTGAAGGATATCCTCCTCGACTACGTCCGGAACATGTACGGCAGCTCCCAGCAGGACGAGATCGACCCGGCACACTTGCAGAACAAATTGTCGCAGACTCTCACCTACTTATTTGTCTTTTTGTACAACGATGGCTGGGACTCCTTCATCGACGACTTCTTGGCCGTCGCCAGCAGCACAAACAACACCGCTGGTGTCGTCCTCTACCTGCGAATCCTCGGCTCGATCCACGACGAGATTGCCGACATGCTGTTGACGCGGAACAGTAGCGATGCGAAGCGCAACACCGACTTGAAAGACCAGTTGCGCGCGCGTGACGTCCAAAAGGTCGCTCAGTCCTGGAAAGACCTGCTGGCTCAATACTCGGAGCAGAATGACCACATTGTAGAAATGATTCTAAAGGTCATCGGCAAGTGGATTAGCTGGATGGACATCTCCTTGATTGTCAACCAGGAAATGCTCAACCTTTTGCTCCCCGTCGTTGGACGGACAAACCACTCGGGCAAGGAAGACAAGGTCAGGGATGCTGCTATCGACACCCTCACCGAGATTGTGGGCAAGAAGATGAAGGGGCCAGAAAAGATGGAGCTTATCTCCTTCCTGAACCTGCGTAGTATTGTCGCCCAGCTGATCGCCAGTGCGCCTTTGAGCGATCTCAAGTCCACCCCGCAGTACGACACCGATCTCGCGGAAGCTGTCGCCAAGTTGGTGAACACCGTCCTGGCCGACATTGTGCGAGCTTTGGAGGACGGACAAGCCAGTGAAGATACCCGCTCAAAGGCTGAGCAGCATCTTCACGAGTTCCTCCCGTTCCTCCTGCGTTTCTTCTCCGACGAATACGACGAGGTCTGCTCAACAGTCATTCCGTCTCTCACGGACCTCCTCACCCTGTTGCGAAAGGTCGGCAATCTGCCTCCTTCCTACAAGGAGATGCTGCCTCCCATTCTCAACGCCATTATCCTGAAGATGCGCTACGACGAGACCTCCAACTGGGGCGATGAGGACGAACAAACGGATGAAGCAGAATTCCAGGAGCTCCGCAAACGGTTGCAAGTCCTTCAGAAGACTGTCGCAGCAGTGGACCAAGAATTGTACATCGATGTACTAAGCAACCTTGTTTCGCAAACTTTCGGCACACTCGATCAGCAAGGCTCGCAGATGGACTGGAGGGACCTCGACCTAGCACTTCACGAGATGTACTTGTTCGGTGAATTGGCGCTGCCGAATCAGGGTTTGGGCGCAAAGAGCCAGCCGAACAACACGGCAACAGAAAGATTGACCATCATGGTGACGAAGATGGTCTCGTCTGGTAAGTCTTTCTCAGTCAGTGCTCATATCATGACCAAAGTCTGACTTGGACAGGAATTGCCGAGTTCCCTCACCCCGCCATTCTGCTTCAGTACATGGAGATTTGTGTCCGATACTGGCAAGTATTTGATGCTCGGCAAGAGTACATCCCTCAAGTCCTCGGGAACTTCGTACAACTGGTACACCATGACCATGTTCGTATCAAGACACGGTCATGGTACCTTTTCCAGAGATTTGTCAAGTTCCTCAGGGCCCAGGTCGGCAACGTTGCCGAGACCGTCATCGGGTCCATCGGTGATCTCCTCCCTATCAAGGCGGAGGTCTCTGAGAACAACGGAGACGATGACATGTCTTCGGACGAGTCCGACCACTCTGCGGATGCCTTGTTCAACAGCCAGCTTTTCCTGTTCGAGGCCATTGGCTGCATTGCTTCGACCGGAAGCACCCCAGCAGACAAGCAGGCCTACTATGCTCGGCTGGTGATGTCTCCTTTGTTCAGTGACATGGAAGCCCACCTGCCCAAGGCGAAGGCTGGAGATGCTCAAGCCATCCTCCAAATCCACCACATCATTCTGGCTCTCGGCACCCTGGCTCACGGCTTCTCGGACTGGACCCCGGGTAGCACCTCTACCCAACAACGCCCTCCCCCGGACAAGCTCGTGTCCGATGAGTTCTCGAGAGCCGCCGAAGCTATTCTGATCGCACTCAGGGAACTTAATAGCTCTGCTGATATTCGCACCGCGTGTCGTGCTTCGTTTTCCAAGTTGCTTGGCGTTCTTGGGTCTGCTGTTTTGCCCCAGCTTCCTCAGTGGATCGAAGGGTTCCTGTCTCAGAGTTCTTCCAAAGACGAGATGGCCATGTTCTTGCGGCTACTGGACCAGATCGTCTTTGGCTTCAAGGCCGAAATCTTTAATGTCTTGAATTTGCTGCTTACCCCCTTGCTGCAGAGAATCTTCGCCGGTCTGGGTGAGCCGGTGACGGGTACGGATGACGAGATCCAGCTTGGGGAGCTGCGTCGGGAGTACTTGTCCTTCCTGTTGGTGATTCTGAACAACGAGCTCCAATCAGTCTTCATCAGCGAGGCCAACCAGGCCTTCTTCGAGTCGATGATCACTTCCATCCTCACGCTGGGACGTACTCTGGTGGCCGAAAATATCGGCCCGAGCCGCCTCGCCTTCAGTGTGCTGTCGCGAATGGTTGTCGTTTGGGGTGGTCCCGACGTCGCCAAGATCTCCGAGAACCCCTCGCCCCCGAGCGGCTCCGCCAACCCGTCCATTCCGGGCTTCGACCGCTTCATGATCGACCGGTTCCACCCGCTCTGCTGGGAGGTTTTCCAGGACCCCAACTTCAGACCTCACAACGACGCCCAGAGCAAGCAGGTCCTCAATGAAATCGCCGGCCTCGAGCAGGCCATCTACGTCAAGACGGGAGACATGTTCATCCAGCACCTCCAGTCTCAGCTGTTCCCGCACCTGGGAATCGACGGATCCGAGTTCCTGCGGTCCATGTCGACGTCGGTGGACAGGAAGGGGTTCTCTAGTTATTTGCAAGGGCTTTTGAAGAGCCGGAGATAGGCAGGGATAGCAGCCGCGGTGAGAGGAGGATACTAGATAAGCTTTAGCGAGGGAGGGAGTAGGAGGAAAGGAGGAGGAGGGAGGGGAAATTCGGGAAGTCTCTTCTTGGCCACTTTTCTTTGTTTACATATCCACTGGCCGCATCGCCTTGGAGTTTGAGGGAGGCATTAGAGATTAAATGACAAATGACAAAAAGATCATGCTCTCAAACCTGTCGACATGATTGGATGTTCTTTCTTCATAGAAGTAAAAGACAACTCGCCTGAGGATTGCCAATTTACTTCATCAAGGCATCAGTACGTCATCAACCGCGCATAACTGCAAGTGTGATCGAAAGCTGAGTATCGCAGAGCAACACATGGCATTCCGTCTCGTCAAGCGTGTTGGACAACTACTATAGACCAGTTGCAACGATACCTAACCTCCCTCGGAATGAACGCTCTCCAAGCTGAAACAGGAAGTGTACACTGCCTTGGCACGTGTATGGCTCTTACTCTGCACTTACTTCAACCTAATCAATGTACTTTCGAGGCTCTTACGGGGTCAACTGGAATGGACTACTCTACAGACCGAGTTCAACGATATCGGAAAAAAGATGGAAGAAAGATGGCGCCATATTCTGGGGTTTCGATATGGTCTCCAGGCTCAGGCGTGTGAATGAGCAGAGCAGTTGGAGGTGACGAACAAACATATGGGCGAGTATGATGTCCATATGAACATAAGTTGCAGACGCCAGCAGGCAGCAAGAGGTGGGCGAGCGGCGATGTTTCATTGATAAGCTCAATGGCTTCGGATATGAAGACTTGCTGTACAAAACTGACGAACGAGCACTAGACACCTGTCAATGGATTTTTCGGCATCCGAAATTCCAAAACTGGCTATCTAATAGGAGGATTGGTCTTCTGGTAGTCTCAGCTGGCGCTGGCTGTGGTGAGTTTGTTTTGGTGAGATACTTGATTGAAGTTGTTATCCCGGAAGAGAACCCAAAATCGACCATCAGCTACCTCCTCTTCAATAAGAGTATAAAGAAGCTACAGAATACACTAATGCCTGTAAAGCCCTCGTTCATCAAATCTTTCAGGCGAATGAAGAGATTATAGATGGTTATTGACGGGAACTCAACAGCGACCCCAATTGTGTCTCATTAAGGCTTTTACAAGGTATGGTCTGTGTTTAATGGAATTTCTAGGGACCCTAGAACAGGTCCGGCGGTCTGCGTTCTGGATGGCATCCATGAGAGCAAACTAGATCAACTGAGAAGCTTCGTGAAACCATTGGGAAAGTACCTCCGCGAAGACGCAGCATCTCGCCAGGCCAAGGTCATTCTCCTAGCCAGAGATAATGAGGAGGTCATAAATCATTGTAGGGGCCTTCCGTTTGGAGGAGGTAAATCTAAATGGAGATAACGAGGATGATGTACGATCTATGGAGAGCATCCAACGAGACATTGACGTCGTTCTGAGGAAGCGGTTCTCCAAGTCGGGTCAAAGAAGACAAGACATCAGAGAGTCTCCAAAGTCACGGACAATCATCAAAACCGGGTTGCTCCAGAAGGGTTCGGACAAAGAACCATCCTTTAGATGCGTCTCGATTTCAATATCCTTGAAGACACCTATCTGTGACACCACAATGAATGGCAGACGTTTTTTAAAGAATTGCCTGGCAATATATACCAGGCCTATGACAGGCCTATGAGAATCTACTCAAGAATGCCGGCCGGCCGGATGATCAGATAATTCGGCAATCATTAGCCCTGATTGTTGCTGCGAGACGATCTTCGTCCATCGAGGAGCTCATTGTTGCCCTTAACAGCGACATCGTGAACAAGACCTGGGGCTTGAATATCTCACAGTTCAAAGGCTGCGGTCAGAGGTCGATGTGGCTCACTCGTATCATTTCTTAGCGGGAAGGCGCAGCTGGTCCATCAGACAGCTAGGGAATTCCTCACCACTGCCAATCGTAATTCTACATCCTCACACTTGTGGCAAGGTTGTTTGACCTCAGCCAAAACCAACCGCATCATGGCAGAGAGGTGCATCGCCTTTCTCTCTGTTGACCGATTTCAATCGTCACAATTTCGGGATTTAGTACAGCAATGGTGTCTACCACTGCCCGAGAAGACCAAAGATGCAATATCGCTGTAAGATTTCTTCGAGTATTCTGCACAATGGTGGCTTCATCACTTCAGTCTGTGTCAGACCCAAACTACAACCGAGCAAGCCACACCAGAGACAGTCAAAAACATCAGCGAGAACTTCCAGCGTAAAAAGAAGTATGCAGCTCTCTTCTTCCGCTCAGAGCCTAGTCACAAGCAGGTCTGAGGAGAGAAACTGCAACGCTGGTACTGCATCATGATGGACACCCAAGTCAACCGCGTCTTCCCGCCCGGAAACCCAAAGTCATATAAAGTACGGAAGCGTTTCCCAAACGCGTACAATGTCGCACGCACTGCTTGTCTCTTCGGACATTCGCGTCTTTCGAAGATTGCTCTTGAAAAATTGAAGGAAGACACCGGGCAGGAACCAAATGCACTGGAGTTCAAAATCCCTAAGCATATCATTGACCTTCAGTCTTCTCTTGTTCACTTTGCCGCGTATGGAGGCTCCAACTTAATACCTTCGATCTTCAGATCAGCTCGGGCTCAACATGAACTCTTCAAGTAGCAGTCGACAGACACCCCTCGATCAAGCCGCCGCAAGAAGCCTAGTATGAACAACTCAGACGTTGCACGACCTCGGTGCACCGGAAAAGTCCTATGATACCAGGCAGACGACTGCGCCCGAGTCCAACATGGCCATTAAGATCGACGAAAAACGCTCGAGTATTTTCTTTTCTTCGCCGCGATGTCCCACCCTGATGTATACGCGTACGAACCAAGGGTACGAACCAAGGGCTTACGAATCGTCGTGCTTTTGTCTGATTAATGCCCTCGAGGGATGTGAGAAGAGTCTGTTCTTTCTCAGAGCTCATGGAAGGTCCCTTGTGTAGGGTCCCGTTCGAACTCGCATCGACGCTGCAAATGTGTCCGAATCAGGTGAGCATTGAAGGCGTCGCGTTGTCCAACATGGAACCACTGATCCAAATGAAAGATATATATATATATATTGCCTCAGGGTTCACCAGTTATAGTTCTTGATATGACCAAACACTCCGATAATGCATATATCACAAGTTAGAAGTCAAGTTAACCATTTCCGGTTCTCCTATTCCAATCTATCTGTCATAGACATATCAACGAGCCAACAAGGGCTGTAGCTAAACCGGTCGAGCCTGGTAGGTTCAACGCTCGAAGCTGACTCCTGGCGCAATTCTCGTTCCCGAAAAAGAGCAAATGCGCCAGTGACTACGAAGGGCCCATCGTAATTCGCGTTCGTCTCGTCACAGACTTATCCAAAGGCGTGTGGGCGTTACGGGGTGTGGGCTTTATGTCGGGGGTCGAGATCAACAGCGTCAAGTTCCGGGAGCACGGGAGGTTTTCGAACGAGGAGGCGGCAGAGCTCCGCCAGCTGCTTGGGCACGAGTGTAGTTTTGTTGGGCTGAGCGACGGAATATACGATCACCGCGCGTGAATACATTGTCGGAGAGGTACGTGGTACCATGCGGATGCTTCTTCTGGATGAGGGAACCCTCGGCATGAAATCATCTTATCGGTGTCGGGAGGCGGGATCGACAGATGGAATCTACCTAGGAGCTGTTGGGTCAGTCGGACCAGAAGTCGGTTGGTTTCCTGAATGGCCTCTCGCTGATCGGGTAGTTGAGAGCGGTGACGCGCTGCAGAGATTCGCTGAGCTCGAGTCGGTTCGCTATGGCGGCGTGGTTCAGACAACTTGAGATTCGAGATCTGTAGCATGAGAAAAGGGCGTGATGGTAATACAGAGGCAGCTTAAGTTATGCTAGACTTGGTACATTACCCTGGAGTCCAAAGGCTGCCACGATAAATCGTGAAGACAGACGTGAGCGAGTGTTCCACTCGGACAGTCTCGATGCCTGAGGGCGACTGAATGCCTCTTTTCGTCGTTCCTTTTCTTCGTCTCTCGTCGCCCGTGATGTGATCGGCTTCTTCGTATACTGACTTTGATGAGATGATTTGCTCTCAGTTCTCCCTGATTCCGGCTCTGGACTTCCAGTTTCCTGAACGACGTCGCGATCTGCTGATCAGGACGCTCCATGATACGAGTACCGAGACACTCATCTATGCCCGGGGAAACCGATTGTCAGACCCGGCCAAATCCTCTCGAAGTACTGTGTATACAGCCTGTCCCACGCTCATAACAATCGTGGGCAAAGACACCCAACAACCAAGCAACGGGCCGCTGTCGAGCAGTCTTGCAGGGTGCATTCGAGACACGACCCGTGTCGCTGAATCATATTTGGCGGGATGTCGAGGATGAGACACGTCGTATGTTTCGCGGGAGCGCAACGTGTTGTGGCACCATGTAGCCCGGCCGCGTAGCCTGTCGTGAGATCCAAGGTAGATGTGTTCGGGAGCACTGCTGAGTGAATGAAATCTGTGAGCTGGACAGTCAACCTTGTTGTGCCTGATGACGTGCTAGATGTAGACGTTGGCCGTCCCACTGGCAGTCTTGAACATCAGAGGTCCCTAGCAACGATGCTGACGCCTTTCCAAGCGAACGGGTCTTCGAGATGATTTCGGGTAGGTAACGGGCATGTCTTTGTCTAGAAGGATAGTCGCTGGACTACTTCCGATGGCTTCGTGACAACGAGCCCCTTGCTTCGAACTCGGATTGGCCGGCTGAATCAGGCTTTTGCAGAAAGCAACTTTTGACGAGCTTCTTAGCCTGAGCAGAATCAGACCGGTTGCTTCGAGCCCCATCCAACGTTCGTTCACATCGAACAGAACCTGGGCGTTGGATGCAGCTTTCGACCGGTCTCGCGGGCAGTTCGATCCGAGTCTGACAAGGGTACAGATAAATAAGCGTGAGTCGAACCAGTCATACAGCTGTGTTTGGGGTAGAAATTCCCTTCGTTGACAAAAGAGGGATGGGAGCGGCCAGCTCAGGTCGAGATCCTTCGTTCATTCAGCCACCATCATCGAAAATATCACCGCGGGACGCGGAGCGAGCGAGTGGTTGCTATTATCTGTCTGCAGACAGGCGCCGACGTTGGGGTTCGCATGTGCCCCTGAGGCGTGCATGATCTGCTTATGCGGGAATACAAATCCGGGGTTGGCTGGCAGATTTCGAATCGACGAGCGACCTGCCTCTTGGAGCAGCGCTGAGAGCGCTCCTTTTGCGGGGATTGGTGGCCTGCGAAGAATTGTCCGAGATTTGCTTTTCGTATGGTCAGATTGCTTTCAGACTCACTTCGCCCTTCTGCCCACGAGGGGATCTTGACACCGGGCATTGGACCGAGAGTTGACGAAGGCGGTCGAGGTTTCCACTTACCCAGAATAGCAGACAGCGCACGGCGCCTCCAGTTATCCCACAAAAGGGCACCCATCCGGATCCCAGCCAGTCGCACGGCTTCCGATGGCAGATTTCCCCGAATGGGATGTGATGGTCGTTGGGATGGAGAAGCTCAGCGCGAAGATCTACGAGCTGATGTGGTGCTGAGCTTCCTGAGAGGCCGGGAGCTGCATGGTCCCTTGAACTCCACAGCCGCGCGTGATCGGAGGTTTTGGGAGACGACGATTGTAATTGACAATTGTCGGTGAGATGGACGTCCAAAGGACAATGCGACAAACGAGATCAATGATTTGCCCAGACCCGCCGTCCAAAGCAAAGGTGCCGCCGTCTACCTGCTGGCCGGCAGGGGCCAAAAGCTTCTCTCTGTCGCCACATGAGTGCCTCTCGGTTGTCAGCCAGAGGTCGCCGAGACAATGGCGCAACTGGAAATTGCCCTCAGTCTTTGAAGATTGGCGATTCTACTGGCCACTGTTTAACCGTCAAGAAAACAAGCAAGGTCTGGCCCGGCGGCCGGTGGCAGTGCGGACAAGTGAGGGGGTCTCGTCAAATTACTCCGTACAGCCGATCCGATCAGGCCGTGGCCAAGAGGCCGGAGGGCAGTCGTAAGCGTGTGCGAGCGTTGGACGGTGTGTTCCTCGGGCGAGGACTACCGTCTACGGAATGAAGTAGGTGGTGATGGCGCTGAATCGCGGTTGATTAAGGTTATCATTGCTCCTGTCAAACAAACCTTGTATTTTTTTTGGTGGTCCTTTGGCGGAAAGTAGCCGTCGACGTCCAAGTCATGCCGGTAATCAAAGACTCGGCCGGCCGTCGGTGACCCAGCACAAGAGCAGGCATAACGCGACGTCATAAGGGTAATAAGCCCGACATGGGAGAGCCGTTGAGGGCCCTTGAGGGAGCATCAGACGATCTGCTGCGTCCACATTTGTGAAACGCGCGATTAGCAGAGGACTGGAGCACTCGGGGCTGGTTCGTGGGGCCGAATGGAAGACTGCTGATAAGTCCCGACATGGATATCTCAGGAATACATTTTGCGTTGGCTCCTGGGCATCGAAAAACGGCGCCTGTCTCTCTGTGTCTGCAGCGTGCTTGCTGCGTCGCCGATGAGGGGTTCCCTGCCTCCTTGTCAATAGCCCATTAGTCGTATTAGTTGCAAAAGATGGCGCCAGCCGTTGCACATTTCCATGAATCGACACCATTCCGAACCAAACAGAAACAACCTTAACGTAATGAAGCACAACAATAGTGGCTATTGTTCGTCTCCGTGGCGGCCGTCTAGGCATGGCAATGGCATGGCCGCCATGGGGATCCAGACTGTCGACTTTCGTCGAAGAAGAAGACCATATGGCAGAGACTAGACGCCGACGGGAAGAATCTGGGTGTCGGGGCTAAGCCGGTTCGAGCGGCATCACGAAGTGCCGGGGCGGTCTAACCAGACGAACATGAGATTAAGATTGGCTTTTTGAGCTTGAAAACCCACGGGCAGTGGGCGCCATGGCATATGGTCCGTGATTCTGACGTGTTGACAACGCTGATCTCGCAACACTGGATGATGCCGCGGAGGATTTTCGCAGCAACCCATCGAGGGATAGACAGGGGCGGCAGGCTTGGTGGCAGGGTAGCTGATCTTTGCAATGAGAACCCCTGATCTCGTGTCCGTGACCTTTTGGCCAGCGGCTTTTGTGCGTGTGCCTGTGTGTGTTTTGTGTCTGTGGTCTGCAGTCCTCGTGGTGAGTGGTCGTTGGCTGGCAGCCATCGAGTCGGGTGGTTTTCTCTCTCTCTCACTCCCTCCTTTTCGGCCGCACGACTGACCAACCCGAGGGGGCACGGGCAGAAAACCGGGGAATGATTTTCCATGGATGGAGTGATGGGCATGGACGAGTGGTTCTCTCTGTGATTTTGACAGCTTCGCGGGAAATTAAGCCGTGCTGAACAGTTCGTGAAATGGAAAAAGATTGACAGTGGTTGACTGAAAGGGGGAACAAGTGCAAATCATCTGGCTTCCCGTGGACAGCGAGGAAAAGATACGTATTGATGAGCCCACCATTTCCGTTTATGTTCCTGCATTAGCTCCCCTCCTTTTCGAATCCTTCACTAAAACACCACATGTACACCATCTTTTGTGCTTTTCCGAATTGTGCCTGGTTTGTGCCCGTATCCGTACACAACCTATCCCGCATTCCGTCAAGCGGTTCAGGCGAGAAGAAGAGGGGAGCGCAACAACTGCCAAGGGCCGCAAGGCACAAGGCACAAGGCTTTGCCAAGGGGAACGCCCAGGACGGGCTCTCCCCTGCTTGAGCTGTCTCTCTCTCCTCTTTTGGCGGAGAACCCTGTTCCCAGTTCAGTCTGCAGTCTGTCTGCTCGTGCTGCCTCTCCCTTGGTCCTTGGTGGTTGATCTTCCTTCAACTCCACGTTTTGCTGCATTCCCGCAGCCCATCCCGTTTTATTCCCTCTGCTCAGCTCGGCTGCCTCATTTGCCTCAGCTCCGTCGCCGTTTCTCAGGAGTCAGACCAGACCGACGCCTCAGATTGTCTCTCCCTACCGACAAACGTCTCCCTACGTCTGCGGTATCATCCAGAACGTTCAACTCGTTCCCGCGTTCCTGACCAAACCTTCTATCGACCTCCTCGTCCTCGGTCCCTGTCCTGGACGAATTTCGGGGACTTGCTTCTGTCACTTTAGCCGGTCGACGAGACGGGGCAAGGTAAGGCGAGTGAGCGAAATAACGACGACCTGGATCTGCGAGCCGACCTAGGTCTGAGGTGACAGTGTCGCCGCCAAAAAGGTACCGAGTACAGCGGCATCTCGCCAGGTTGTGCGAGTCGAAGGCCTGCACGATGCGTACCGCGTACGAAAGTCACACCGAACCACCCACTTGCCCAATCAGACAAGTCATCCTGGTTGCCATTAAATGTGCCACTTTTTGACTCGCCTTCAAACTTCGCTTTGCGGCCCTTGATTGACTCGCGATGCCAACCCTGCCTCTGCCTATGCCATCCTGGATCCTTGGGTCCTGAGGAAACACAAAGCGTTCGTCAAGCGACGACAGGAACCCGAGATTGGCGAACACTGCGAAGTCTGTCACGAACGACCAGTTGCCGTTAACGAGTTCGCCAACATCCACCATCAGACTACTATCAAGCTGGACTCTCAATAGACGCCCACCACCCATCATGCTCTTAGCGTCAGCGGCTTTCTCCCACCAAGTGTATGGGTGTGCCGTCTTCTTTTCCTGTTGGCGGCAGGTCAATCATACAATTTGACCCGCGAGATTGTTCTGCTTGATTCATTGCTTACACCAAGAGAGAAATGGGAAAAAGAGGCGTCGGGAAACCAACAGAGCCAGCTGTTGCTGGCGCACGAAATCAGCACCTACATTCATCTGTTATTCTGAGCAGATGGCGCCCTACTTACTCGCATCGTTGGCGTTCTCGCCCCCAATAAGCACTCGCATCTCATCTCGTCTTACCACACTTCAGGCTACACCGCAGCCATAGAACTCAGCCTAGCAAATAAGGTGGCAACGGCGTTTCTTCCCTCCTGTTCTTAATGTCGGTCTATGCAGATGGGATGAGATGGATGGATCCCAATGGATCTAACCCCGGCCTTCCTTAGGGTGCAAGTGCAGACGTGCATGGATGGGAGGTCGGCCTCGCCTCTGCGGGCCAATTCGCCCAAGTGCCCTTGTTGGTGCCATCCTAACCTCCACCAAAACCCCTGGATTAGCGTTCATGGGAGCCAGCGTCGTGTAATTTCCCGTTTGTGTGCTCGCTCCATGTCATGTCACTCTCTCTTTGCTCTCTCAGTCGGTCACTCACTCAGTCTCTCAGTACGGAGTACGGATACGCGCAGAGAGGGGCCGATCCCGTCAAGGACTATCGCACTTGTCCAACATGGCTATTAATATGCTGCCATCCTCCCCATCCGCTTCAGACCTTCTTTTTCTTTCCTCTCCAGCCAAACAAGCCTCATCAATCTCAAGCATCAGCTTTTGACTCAACTCTGACTTCGGTCGTCCATTCTTTACCAAGCTCTCAGCTTAACAACACTCTCTTAATCAAACCAACAACAACCTTCAGTCTTTTACGACTTCATCCAACAACCCCCTTCAAACCATCAAAATGAAGTACTCTATCGCCGCCGCTGCCCTTGCTGGTGCCGTCATGGCCCAGGAGCCCGCCTCCACGGTCTTCTCCACCGCCTACTTCACCGTCACCTCCTGCGCTCCCACGGTCACCAACTGCCCTGCCCGCAGCACCGTCGTCTCTTCCAGCGTCGTCCCCGTGACCACCTCCACCATCTACACCACCAAGATCAACACCATCACCTCCTGCGCCCCCGAGGTCACCAACTGCCCCGCCGGCTCTACCGTCGTCGTCACCGAGACCAAGGCCATCGGCACCACCATCTGCCCCGTCACCGAGACCGGCGCCAAGCCCACTCCCACCGGTCCCGCCGTCGTCGTCCCTCCCCCCGCCGGCGGCAACAACGGCACCACCCCCGTCGCCGTTCCCACCAAGTCCATCCCCGCCCCGGGCACCACTGAGGCCGCCACCAAGCCCGTCCCCGTCACCACCGGCGGCGCCGTCCCCTCCGTCTCCCAGCCGGCTACCCTCATCTCCAGCCCGGCCGCTCCCGTCTGCCCCGGCAGCTCCGTCAAGACCATCTCTACCAGCGTCACCACCGTCATCCCCACCGTCATCTACGAGACCGTCCAGGTCCCCTGCGCTACTGCTTCCAGCGCTAAGCCCTCTGCTGGCATTCCTGGCACTCCCACCAACGGAACGTAAGTACAAACCGGATATCAAACACAAGACATGAGAAGCATCTCGACTAACAAACCTCCCAGCGCTGTCCCCCCCACCAAGACCCCCGTCACCGCCGGTGCCTCTGGCCTGAGCGGCTCCGTCGTCTTCGCCGCCATCGCCGGTGTTGCCGCCTACGCCTTCGCCTAAATCCTTTCACGAGGATGAGTCTCAAGGAAGCAGCCATAGGGCTACGGCAGTTTACGATCTAGCGGGTCTTTTGCTGGAGTAGAGAGGAGCACATGTTAAAAAAGAGGCTCCGTTTTCTCTTTGTACATGTATCAAATCTTAACGGAATGGCAAATACCATTTGTATCTAATCTTCTAATTGTATTTGGGGGCGCGATCTTGGTGATGAGTGTTTGACCTCGCGTCGGAAGACGCTGGAAGAACCTCACACAAACCAGACGGCCTGGCTTTTAACGACGAAAGTGGTTTGGTGTATCAGTCGCTGAAGTGACATCTCGCAACGTGACATTCTCCTCTCGACTTGGCTTTAGGGCGGAAGAAGGGAAGATGATTTCCCTCGAGTGAGGTAGCATGATCGCCCTTACAGCGATCTTCCCCGGACTTCCAGCGGGAAATGGGGTGGTATCAACTGCGACTCTCCCAGGCGACGAAATCACTCATCAAACTCAAAGGACACCACCACCAAGCGACGTTCGGACGACGACGACGACTGTCAATCAAAACCATGCCCAAAAATATCCCTGTTTAGCGCCGTCTGGGCGGCCATGGACGCACTGAGGGACTTTTCGGGAGATTACGATTGGGACGAACACGGCCCCCTGATTGGGTCGTCTTACCCTCGAGGTCAATTTGGACGAAACAGCCGGGGTGGGCTCCGCGACCGAACGGACTCCCCGACCTTTTTTCCTTGCACCGTTTTGTTTGCATAAGTCCAATCTTCCCGTTGGGGACCGTTTTTATGCAAACGAACCACGACAGAAATAACTCTTTTTTTTTCCAAGGCCCGCGAGCTCAAGGATTACGGCGCGCCGCAGACGACGTGAGAAGGGAACGGGGAACCGCGAGATTTCAGCCCGTGCAGCTGGGGTCATGCTAGGCGCATGCCGAAAAGGGAAGGCGATGGATGGTGTCGTTCTCGTAGGGCGTTGGGCGTCGTTCTGGAAGCCGCGGGGGTTTTCTTGGGATGGAGAGGCGCAGCAGCAGATCACACCTACGTCGAATGTTGATGCTGAAGATGAATGATGGCCGGGGTCATTCATCACACACACACACACCATCACCATACGCGGATCTGGCTTCCAGGTGATGGGACTTCCGGAGGCCGAAGACAACGACCGCCCGGATCTGAAATGGATTCGGCTTCACAGGGCGCGGAATATTCTTCGTTACATCACGCCGCTCGTGTGCTGGCCAACTTCCCAGCACCACGAATCGCAATTTGCGGGGAAGGAGCGGACTGGATTCGATTGCGTGATCGACCGTGTTGGACGGCCTGTTTCATCACGATTGTTGCTCGAGGGCGGACCGATTGGACAGACGTCATATCTTATTCCTTCCCCTCTGGTCTGGCCTGGCCTGATCATATGCGGCCCTCCCGATGCTCTGCTCTGCTCGGACTGGGCTGATCTGCCGCGGGTACCTGCGTCGTGGCTTAGGAACTGGGGCGTTTCTGCTGTATCTGAAGGGCTAGTGCATGGACGAACAGACTATGCCCAAGGACTCATCCAGAAGCTTCCGTTGTTTCGAAACGCAATCCTGAGATGGCTCTCAACCAATATTAGAGACTTGCGCGCGTCCGCGGCGTAGTGCGTTTTCTGGCTCGCCGCGTATATGATCGGTTGTCGACCCGGAATAGTCTCTGGCCTGCGATTGTTTCGATTTCTGTTTTTGGTTCATGCTAATGTAGAACTTCAAGTCCCCTCCGTCGCCTGATTCGATTGTCTGCGAAATCTTTCATGAGAATTGGGAGAAGTCGATATCGTACTCCCTGCCCTGACGGACAGAGGCAGACGGGCGTCGTTGAGGTTCGGCTCGGGTTCCAGGATCGGCGATATGTGCGATTTGGACTCACCTTTGCGTCGCTTGCACTCTGCGTAGACCGGTACTCACGATGAAGGCCGTCTGGATAGCATCTTTGGGACGCGGCCGCGAACCGGTCGCTACTTTCGTTGCCCCTCTTCTTCTTCCTCTTCTTTAGCACGGAAGATGCGATGTGTATGTTCGCAAAGAGAACCTGCAACTGCCCTGCATATACTCGTCCAGGAGCAAAAAAGACTGCGACAGAGAGACCTCAACGTTGCTTAGGCTCGCTGCTTGGGGGAACTTAGCCGCTGGATTTCGACGAGACAGCATTCTGTGACATTCACAACACCAGTTCTCTTCCTTGCCAATAATCGTGATCCGCTGGGCTACCACATTCTATCCGAGTATTCGACATGCGTTTTCGTGCGCTGTGATAAATTTGTCTAGGAACTGTTCTTCTTGAGCACACATCACCTCTGGCGCAGAGCAACGCCACTCTCGGCCAAGGGCCCATGAGACTTCCATGATCTTCATCTCCGGCCATCGAAAAGACCTTGCCGGCTTCCCCTTCAGACTCGGATAGGTCCGCAGTCGTAGGGCGCGCGACGTGACTAGGTGGGTACGTTTTGGATAGATTCGGATCAGGCCGACAGGGCTGCGGCGACTCCACAAACCTCGGCCATTTTGAGCATCAGCCAATATCGACGAAGCCAAAGATGGAAGCTCGAAGGAACGGTTGCCACAATATCATGCAGGCCGAGCTTGAAATAGATGGTACCGCCTGTCTCGTCAGCCCAGATGGGTCCATACTCAAAGGGAAAGGTATTCTCGACCAGGGAGGTTTTCGCTATTCGTCGTGCGAATGTGCCGGGAGGCCTGACCAGAGCGTCTTCATAGAGAAAACCATGGTTTCGTTTCGCCAAGATCTCAAAGCATTGCAAGCTAGTTGTTGAACCAATTCTCGTACTCTCTGGGCTCTTTACGTTGTTTCACAGAAAGAGCACGCATGACTCGGCCGGGGTTCGTCCCAACTTTTCGGACGTTTGCTGGAGATATGCACCTCTAATTCAAGCTTTTGAACAGCACAAATCAACGGGCCGTCCAGTGCCCTTCCCTGTGGCAGACCACGATATATGGTCGAGCTGAGGTCCGAAGCCCGGCGCCGATCAGTGCGGTCCCACATCCGAACCCGACGACCCACCTCTCGCCGAACCCGAATCCCACCTCCGATCGCCGAATCCGGTAGTTTGCGTGTGAACAAACAAATACTCGACTTTCTCGCCGGCAGATTGTACTCATGAACGGTAATTGTTCAGTAATCATCAACCCTATTCCTTCCCCCGGCCCGAAAACAGACACTTGAAAATGAGGCCCACGGAGGAAACGATTTACGGTCGTGAGAGCCCCCGGGCGACGCTTGGTCCCGATTCGGAGGCATTCGGCGCGGTTACGTGAAAGCCCTCAACATTCTCAGCTAGATGGATGGTCTGGGCTAGCCCGCATTCTTTGCCTGCCCGACATCGAAGGGGGCCAGATGAAAAGCCTAACTCCGCCTTGGCGATATGAAAGGGAACGCACCCGTCTACGGCAGGCAACCGATGAGACGACTGCGACGCGTCGCCTGCGCTGATTTCGTACGGATGTCGACAGCGACGTCTTGTCAGCAGTGCATATCAGCCTCAAGTCGATGACACGTTGAAAGTCCCGATTCCCTGGTTCAAGCCCCGACATGCAAGCACACCTCGTCAGCGTCAGCACCCGCATCATCACCGTCCCAACTTTCCTCCGACTCGTCCCAACCGTCGTCATCTCAACCTCGCATCCAATGTTCCTCTCATCCCAAGCTGCAAAACCAACGTTCCCCGATGTGGATGCATTTGGCGCGGCTCTATCCTCTATTCGTAGCTAGGCTTCTTCGCACTCGCACGCACAGACCGTAGCTTCCTTTCCCTCTCCCTCCCTTGTTCGCACGCGGCCTCTCGCAGCTGTTTCTTTTTTACACATCTGACATTCCCGAACCCAAACCCCCCCCTCCGCTTCCGCACTCGCTTAACACCGCCAAGCGGACGCCATGCCATCCCAAACGGCCGATCCCTCTCGCCCTACGCACGTTGTTCGGCGTGGTTCAATCTTTTCTCTCTCTGGTGGCTTGTTTTTGCAGTTTGTGCTCAGCTGGCAAGCCTCCGCGCTCAATCTTACCCGTTTTGTTGCTCAGTAGCAGCAGTAGCAAACAGATCCCTCAGCCTCCTCTCGATGCCATACGATAGCGAAAAGTGCTGATTTCTATGAGCGGTCCACCACCGCACCGCCCGTTTGATTCAACATGATTGGCGTCCTTCCCGGTGTCTTAAGCCACGCGAGCTTATCTGGATGTGAATCATCCAAGAGAATGCGAAGTCTGGATCCCCCTTCTGCGCCCCCCTAGTGATGACGAGTCTCGAATCTGTTCCTGGATCCCGCGATTTCGTTTGTGTTGTGCGTCGGGTGTGTTGTTGACCCATGCCAAGAGTGGTAAATGGTTGATGTTCTAGTCTAATACCTCTCCCCCCTCCCTTTCATAGACTTATATATATGAGATATCTCCCCTTTCCGGTCTGGATCGTGTCAAACGCTTGCTTGTTCCTCCTCAGCATCAAGGGCTCGAGCACGGCATTCAACCTTTAAAGCATCTGTCTCTATCCAGTCCCGTCCCCGCGCGAAGTCTAGAAGAAGCCCGCCTATCTCTCCGATCCATCCTCTTCCTCCTCCTCCGACCGACCTCCCGATCCATATCCAAGATGTCCGGCCCGCCGCCTCCTCTGCCGCCGTACGTGGTGGCCTTCGGCCCCAAGTCCAACTGCACCCTCGACATCTGCGACATCCGGTACAGCCTCTACCAGTACCGCCCGAACCTCGCCGTGAACGCCCTCTTCCTCGCCCTGTTCGGCCTCGCCGGCCTCATCCACATTTTCCTCGGCATCCGCTGGCGATCATACTGGTTCATGACCTTCATGGTCCTCGGCTGCCTCAGCGAGATCGTCGGCTACGTCGGCCGCATCCTCCTCTACAAGAACCCCTTCGCTTTCATCCCCTTCATGCTCCAGATCGTCTTCATCACCAGCGGGCCCGTATGGTACACCGCCGCCATCTACGTGACCCTCTCCAAGTCGTAAGTTCTTTTTTCGGGTTCTCCCCCCCGCGACGCCATGATCTCGTTATTTCTCGGGCGTTTCTTTTTCGCGGACAGCTGCGGCTGGGGTCAAGCCCCCTTACACCGGATCGCAATCTTGCGCATGTCATCCGATGGGAAAAAAGAAACGACATCCAGTGTCAAAACGCCATTGCCGAGAGACACACACAATCAGCTAACCGCGAAACAAACCAGAATCACGCACCTGAGCCCCGAACTCGCCCGCATCCCCCCGAAGGCGCTGTACTGGCTCTTCATCTGCCTGGACGTCTCGTGCCTGGCCATCCAGGCGGCCGGCGGCGCCCTCAGCACGACGTCCAAGGGCAGCTCGGACCTGGGCGTCGACCTGGCCATGGCGGGGCTGGTGATCCAGGTCGTCGTCATCGTGGGCTTCTGCGCCGTCTTCGCGGACTACATGATCCGGTACTCGAGGTCGCAGTACTCGCGCGCGCTGACGCGGAGGGAGAAGGTCTTCTTCTCGTTCCTGGCGACGGCTATCGTGCTCATCCTCGCGCGGTGCGCGTACCGTGTCGATGAGCTGAGCGAGGGGTACTCGAACTCGACGAAGGTCACGAACGAGGGTCTTTTTATCGGGTTGGAGGGAGTGTAAGTCGGCCTCAACCTGAGAAATCAGCTGGCGGCTTTGCTAACATTGACTTCCAGGCTGATTATTCTTGCCGTCTTTGCGCTGTGTCTCGGACACCCTGGCCTCGCCTTCGGAAAGGGAAGCGAGAGGGCAGAGGAGAGGAAAGAGTCGCACTCGAGCGTTGAGAGTGGTATGAGTGGTATGACAGACAAGGGCGGAGCCAGGCACGTCTCATAGTGGGTTTGACGGAGACATCTAGACTCTTACATGTCTAGGAGTTGTCTACGACCATTTTTCACGTTTTTTTTCATCGGGCACGAGCGCGCATTTGACTTACAAGCTGGCAAAGGCCAAGCCACAGATATGAGCTACTAGATTTGGAGTTTCTCGCATATAACGACCATCTTAATGACCTACAATATCAAGACTTCACCCATCTACAGGTTCTCAGTATAAATCATGAGACTTTATTGTGCGACTCTGGGGAAACGACAACCTGATAGTTGACGGTAACGAGCGCAGCACTGCCTTGCCCTTCCTTCGTACCACGGACGCATTGTTCCCACGGCCATGCACATCCGATGGCAGTGAACGCAACGAGCTGCTCATCCTTCCCGCCACCGACGAAGTATTCGCGAGACAATGCACGTCAAACGACAGTACCCAACAACTAAGCTGAAGTAGCCACGAAACGTACGCGAGAACCCCGCGGCACCGTGGACACACCTGGCGTACCCAAATGTCGAAAAAGATGAATCCAGGACCAGCCATCGGGCAGCTCCGAAAGCCGTCGCCTCTCGACTCAGTGCCTCCACCCGGCCAACTCATAATTCGGGGTTCCTGGTCATCTCCTTGCCGGCTCTCACGGCAGCTCAAGATATAGACGACAGGGTTGTGTCCGCCCGTAGTGTCTACGATCTGGTTGACGACTTAAATGATCAATACAGTCGCACTTGGGAATAAAAGATATTGGCTGATAGATTGTGTTTCTATATAATGGCCTACGGAGTGACCTGCAATACCGAAACTGCGCCAACCTTAGCACGGTCATCAGGAGATGCTTTAAGATTTGTGAGCTGGAGCAGAACGAATTGACAACCAGATCTCGGCCCGTCCAGCACAGATGGCTGCAAAAAGATCACCGGATCGTGTGCTGATAAGCTTGCTTCGATATTCCTCAAGTAATACACGGGGAATGACAATGTGGAGTGGCGGAACGTGGGAACTGGCTGTGGGATGTCATCGGATTTCTCAAACGGCTGTTGCTTGGTGCTTATTCCAAAAACTTCCTAGCACAATGGAGCGGGGAGCTACTCAAAGATGGGGATGACGACAATGAGGCTCGAATGGAAGAAGCAGTACGTAGGGGTCAACGAGGGTTATTATATCATCGGCTGCGTCCATTCGGTTGCGGCTGACCGCGTGATATATGAACAGCCCTGCGAGCTTGAGAGTGTATGTTTTCAACCCAGAGAATATGACTCCTGAGTTGGCATCCTTGAATCATTGATACCTGATCCCTTGTCAACGGGCGCAGTTCCGGGATGAAACATCGGCAACATAAGAGGTCTCGTCGATCACCGGCTCATGTTGCGAAGAACTTTTGATCTATTATTCGCAAAGTAATACACGTCCAACAACAGTGAACAGCAAGGAGGGTTAGAAATCGTTAACTGGCTACGAAATCTCAATAGGATGGAGGTGTTACTCTGCGTCAAACGCTGTCACTTCCTGGTTGAACAGAGCTGTGACATAGTAGATGAATTCAACGACCATTATGGGTGTGTCTAGAAACAAAAGGGTCCTGGCTTTATTTCTGAATGTTTTTATATGTAAAATGCTCTGCAGGACACGTGCCGAGAGTTCTCATTATGTCCCGGGACTACACTGCTTGCTCCATAATCATCGTCATGTTCCGCAGTTTGATCACGGCCTCATCCTCGACCGTGTTGAAAGTTTCTGTCAAGTACTCGAACTCTGACGACAGCCATACACACACGCCGTGCCAGCCTCGAGTTCCTGAATACTTACACCAACCTTGGGCGCGACATCTGGGGATGACTTTGTTGCAAGACTTCGACGGGATTCCATCTCGACGGTGCAATATATATAGTGTGTTGGATGGCCGAGTAGGTCGTGTCATCGATGAGGTGTGACGCTATCTCAATTCCAGCATGGCTTGGGACTGCAACACGACCATCCTCCGTGTGCCCTAGCGGAGGTGGATGATCAAGATCACGTCGACAGATTGGGCCAGTATGCGGAAACACAACCTCCGAACCGCGTTCCTCTGAATATCCGCCATATACCCGCCAAACAATCACGACGAGCGAAGACAGCAGACGACAACATCATCTGTGAGGTCTCGAATATGAACAACCATAATATCTCGACACGCCAGGGTCTCAAACATCATGAAGACGACAGCCGTTCGTCCAAAAACACGCCAGCAGTCTGCCGCAAACCGATGGACTCAGAAAACTCGCGGAAGCAAGTTCCATGCAACGGAGACGGTGAACGTCTCAAACTGGAGACCTTTGCCAGCGGTCTACGTCCAGTTGTTATATACCTAAAAGGTCCACGTGCTGTATTCCCGCAAAGAAGTCCCGGCAGCATCAATCTTACAGCCTTATCTAATGGCGCAGTACAGAACCGGCTTCTCAGAGGTGTTCTGATGCCGAGATCTATTGATTAAAACAGTCTTCTTACTTCTTCCGATGTTGAGGACCGCTATATAAAAGGGAGGACAGAGAGAGCACAGGTTCGCTTCGGCACCGACAGCTCAGTCGCGGTTGACATGCCATTTGCCCACGTGAAGGCATCCTCAGGGACTCGCGGAACCTTATCGTTTGCCTTTAGGATGTCGGAGTAGTCCCAAGGCACCCGGTATCCGGCCGCACATACTCGGGCGTTGCGCTGACAGCCGAGACGTCGTCGTTATCTCGAGAGAATAATCACTGGGAAACGACGGCAGAACCGGACGACAACGTCGTCTACTCAGCACGCATTACAGTGGATGACCAAGGAGATTTGTACGCGGTTCTGTGGGCTGGAAAACGTCGATACTGGGGTAACGACCGTACAACTTTGGCACGGGTTGACCGGATACGTCACGCCTCTGCCTCTAAGACGATAGAGGCAACTGGCGAGGCTCTTCGCGCGTCTGCCGTCACCCTTAAAAGAACTCTACAGACCCTGTAACATTGTGTTCGTTTCAAGTCAGACAGCCACATATTAAGATGAGCTCATCGAGATACTGAGGCTAGCTTCCACTTGCCCAAAGTCACAAGCACAGAATCCAGAACGCACAATTCAAAGCTCATAAGTACAAGTTCAACATTAAAATCGTAGTGCCCATAAGGCTGGCCTAACAATGACATGATCGTGAAATGCTCTATGCGTATATATATATCCTCACCCGACTCCAGCGCTCGCTCAGCCGGCAACAGCCTGTCTGACAGCCCCAGCCAGCTCACCAAACAATATCCCCTTGAAGACGCTCTCGCCCATGTTCTGCGTCCAGTGACCCGCCCTGGAGAGCTTCTCCTTCCAGAGCTTCTTCTGCTGCGCGGAGAGGTCGTCCCAGCTGACGGCCGGCCCGTAGACCGCCTCGTCGTGCACCGCGGCCTGGAACCTCGGGACGGGGTTCTCCTCGGGGTGGGTGGGGCTGACGGCGTCTTCGCGGATGACGATCGGGTCGCCCTGCAGCGCGTGGACCTCGCCGATGAGCGTCGACAGGAACTCGTTGGGCGTGTTGGCGTTGGCCAGGGTGCTTGAGGGGGATGTGATGCGCGGGCGCACGAAGCCGGCGGACTCGAGGCTGATCTGGAAGATGACGGCCAGGACGAGGACGATGATGGTGGCCAGGCCGATCGTCGCCTTGGTCGTCAGCTTGCTGGGCTGCAGAGCGACGGCGTAACGCTGGGGACGCGGCGGGCCGCCCTTGCGCAGGGGGACTTCTCTGTCGGTGAACTTCTTGAGGAGGATTGAGTGTACGACGACAGTGTTCTTCATGGAGATGCTGGCGAGCTTGAGGTACTGTGGCCGGGCGGTGGTCTTGGGAGGGATGAAGTGGGACAGGGCGAGGTTGGTGATCTGCAGAGGGTGCACATCCTTCAACGTCGTGATGCGCTCAAGGTCAACCAGCAGCTCGATGGACGAGTGAGACTTGTGCTCGACCGTGTAAAGTAACACGGAGCGGTCCTGAGCCGCAACGGCCACGACGAATTGCGTGTTTCCGATCCTGGCGTCGGGTGTGGAAGGCGGGCTGAGGTTTCGCACGGCGATGGTGGTCGCTTGCGTGACGGCCTTGGGCAGCTTGGCCGACGCCGCCAGACGAGCTTTTTCGCCCTCCTTCGCCGGCAGCCGGATACCTAGGAGAACGACACCGGTGCGCTTGGGGAGGTTGGCGCCGACCATGATGAAGCCGGATGACAGGTACCGAATGGACCGGAAAATGGGCGTGATACCCGAACCATCCTCCTTCATCGTGTAGACCGCGTGCGGGCCGTCGACGCCGGTCTTCGTGACATTGATGACGAACAAGTCGCGCTCATCGCAGAAGGCGACTTGGTATGTATCCTCGCCAGTCTGGATCACATCCAAATCCATCGCCTCCCTCGAGATGTCCAACTTGCCCCTCGGCTTCACCGCGGCTCCCGACGCGGCAGAGACCTCGAAGAGCGCAATCTGCGACTCCTTGGCCAGACCAGTCGCGACGGCGCCGAGCTGATGCCTCTCGCCGAACGGCGCGGACAACCGCAGCAGGCGCTGGTAGGCGTCCTTGTCGTTCTCGGCGTGGGAGAAGAGGGCGGTGCGGGAGAGCTCGGCGACGTTCACGCCCGGGGAGTTAGCACCGACGGAAAGGCGCGCCTTGCTCTGCTCGGCGCCGAAGACGCGGAAGTGTTCGTTCTTGCCCTTCTCGACGTCGGCGGGGCTCGAGTTGATGCCGGCGTAGATGTGAGAGGTTCTGCCCTTCTTGGGGCCGACGGCGAGGGTCATGACGCTGTCCTCGTTGCGGCTGAGGTCGACCTCGCCGCTGATGCGCAGCTCGTCCTTGGCCGAGGCGTCGATCACTGTCTTTGGTCGCGAGATGTCAGTCGCATTCGCCTGGAAGGCGGGGATAGAGCAGGGATGTAGCTCACGATCTTGTTTGCGACGCCGGACCTGTTGGCGCCGCCGCCGCCTCCGACGATCAGCCTGTTCGCATCTTGGGGGTCGAACTCGCAGGCGTAGGGGAGGTAGTCGAGGGTGAGCTTCGCGGTGTCGAAGGGTGTTGGAGCCATGATTGGCGAAGCGGATTGGTCTTGGCGGCGGGTTGTCGCTGCAATTGAGTCGAGACCAGCGGAGGATTCAAGTAGTCGCTTCGTCTGCTGGAGTACACGTTAGGGAGACTTAGAGTTGGTTCATGGTTCGGTATGGGTTCAATTGGCGCAATGAGGGACGGAAGTTCTGGGTTGATGACGTTCGGCGCGGAAAAAAAGAGTTGGCCAGATGGCCTCGCGGACAGGGGCAGCCGTGGCGACGGGAAGCTGAGAGCTGGAGCACGGGGCAAGCTGCTGGAGAGCTGTCAGAGCTCAGCTGGAAAGGTTCCTCAGCGCCGCCGATCCCTGTGGCAGCTGCACTAACAATTTCCATCCCCATTTCCCCAGGAACCGTTTCCCCGGAGCCGCCAAGACATTCTGCCAACTGCATCTCATCGACTCTCACTGGTCTCAAATTCCAGAACAAAGTCACTGTCATTGAGTCCTTTGAATTGGGTTGATTCTAGATGCCTCCTCAGAAGTCGAATCACGGCAAACCTTTGAAGGACAATAAACCTGAAGGTCCTTGTTCACACTTGAAAGCCTCTCTGTGGCAGCTCAGGACCTTCTTTTGTTCCAAAACTTGATTGATGACGCTGTGTACCTACTTTGCTATTGATTCCAAAAAAGAGTGTTGCTCCCAGAGAAAGCCATCATGCCCCGATACCAAAACGCCATCAACCTCCACCAGTACGCCGCGCTCATCTCATTGATCATATCTTCGTGAAGTAACCCATTGAACCAAGAAACCAAATCTTTTCTTCCCCTCTGGTCCTCTTACATGCGGTGTGCAGCAGAGAAGTAGTAGACATCGCTGGGGGTGAGGCCAAAGTTGCCCTCCATGCGGCAGTCCATGTTGGCGAGCTTGTTGGTCTCCAGAGGGCGGATGGCCTTCTTCTTGCCGTCAGGAGAGATGGACTGAGAGTCCTGGAAGGCCTGCTGCTGCTGAGTCTGGCCAGTCTGCTGCTGGTCGTGATTCTGCATCTGGGACTGGGGACGAGACTGAGACTGCAGATCCTGGCAGCTCTCGCGACGACGGCAGTCCTGGCGCATCTGGCGCGACTTCTCGTTGCAGTCGTGGCAGAGCTGGTCGTCGAGAAACACGTGGTGGTTCTTGGGGGGACCGTGGACGCAGCAGTTGCGCTTGTCGCAAGGGAAGGTGGAGCACTCCATGTGCTTGCAGACGTAAGTGTAGAAGACCTTCTGGCACATCTTTGATGTCGTTTGTAACTAAAGCAGAAAGTTAGATTTTCGGGGGTGAAGAAGTGAAAGAGAACATACAAGGACTGATAAGATTCTTAGTTGTGAAATTCGGTGTGTTGTAGATGAGTTGGTGATCGCTTTGTATGGGCGGTGCTGGAGCCTTCTGTGAGAGACAAGAGTAGTCTCTAGTGTATGTGATGTTGCGATCAAAGACTGGATAGGTTGACCTGATGTATAAGGTTGTGATGAAAATCGGATGGAAGGCGCTCAAGCAGCCGGCTGATGAGGTCTTGAGAGGTTGAATTCGACCTCGAGCTTCTGGCTCTTCTCAACGAGGTATTTGACGAATGAAAATAAGTAGAGCGTGCAAAGATCGAGAGAGAGATGTTGCTGGGTCGGAATAAGGTAACCAACCTCTGGGTGATGGGTGTGAGAGAGCGTCGCCGAATTGGTGAAGTGGCCCCGAGGTAAAGTGAGTTGTTGATGGGTGAGTTTGGCAAGAAATCCAGAGACGGAGTTGGTTTAAATAGAGTGTGGTTGTCGAGAGATGCCGGGGGAAGGTGCGGTTGAGATCTGCCTGGATGCTCTTTCCTTAGCTGTCCACACCGACTTGAGCAGCCGCAAATCGCAAGTTTTCCTTGCGCTCGCCAGCAACGTGAAATATTTGGCAATGATCAAGAAAAGTCTTAGCTGACTTGAATTTGCGGGAAATAGTTGATGTTGTAGGACGTGGTCCTTGAGGTCGCGCTTGCCTTGTGCAAGTGAGAAGTTGCCGTCGTTGTTGGGAGCACCTCGTGACTGCGACAGGTCAAAATTCGGTGTGCGTGTCCTGGGTTGAAAGATAGATGTGAGAGAGATTTGGGTATGATATGAAGGGGATATCAATCCAAGTCTGTGAAGATCGTGAGCGGAGGTGTTCGATTTCAGGCCGGAGGTAGATTCAAAGTCTGGGACCAGACTTGTCCGAGGTTGCCTGAACGAGCTGAAGGTCCGTCAAAAAGACTGAAAATACGCAAGTAGATCGCAACCAGCATACAACAAGAGAAACAACTGCCAATCAGTTGAAAGATAAAATCTATCTCATCCGAAGCGGTGTTTTCGTATAAAGACATGGAACATGTAATACCAGATGGAAGCCCGAAGATATTTGCAGGAGAGAAAGGAAAACATCGAGTGAAGCGGAATGAAATCGAACTGATCGAATCGTCTGACATTCAGCTTGAGATGTCTGGACGGGGGTTATAACAGCATGACTTGCTTGACTTCAGCGGCTGGCCGATAACCTGAGGATAAGTCCAGCGCGTGATGAACAGATGAGGCGAACATATGAGAATGACCAGCAAACAACCTTTGAGAGACTTGTAGAAATTGTGTCTTGCAACTTCTTCGCTAACTCGCTCTCGACGGTAAATAGCCAGGACCTGACTGAGATAGAGAGAAAAAACACCAATTCGTTATTGAGATTGGGAGCGTGAGAAGTCAAGATCAGAATCGAAAAGAACAACGACAACTTCGTCTCCATTGTTGCATATAAAGTTTATAACAGATTGAAATCGGGGGAGATCTAGTAAAAGTCAGAAAATCAACCGGATCAGGGTAGGATTTGAACTCAACGGAGCAAAAGCAAGAAGTTCGAGCAATGCTGCTGCTGCTGCTGCCTCGAATACGCCAAAAAAAAAGAAGAAATGGAGCTGGGAGGATTCGAACCCCCGTCTCTCTCTCGCCTGAGAGTATATAGGATTCTAGGATCTAGGGATAGAAGGCGAGAGAGGCTTTACCACTAAGCTACAGCCCCCTTTGGAAATGTGATTGTTAGGGCTAAGAGATGTCAATCTCAGTAAGTATCATTGAGGTTTGCGGTTCATAGAGGTGGTGGGTTAGGTTAGGTTAGGTCGAAGGGGTTGTTGTGGCGTGGTTTGGGGACTACCTTACTGGCTCCTACTTATACCCATAATGAATGTGATGAGAAATTGCTTGTGAGCTGAGGATGGGATTTAGAAAGGATAATGGGAGGCAAAAAGTCATGAAACGCCTGGAATTTAACGAGCTATTCAAGATTGATATGAATCTCTTGAGCCATGCTAAGTCCATAATATTTAAACCTCAACTGGGTATCTTTAACATACGTACTCGTTGCTAAACACAAACACGTCAACTAAAGAGAAACTCCAAAACAATGTGTTCAGCAGTATTATTCATTTGACATACTGATGGTGCGTGGTCTTCACGACCCCAACCATCTCCAACCCTCGCCCGCGACCATCCCGGCGCGGGCCCCACCGCCGATCCCGCCAACCCAGCTTCCATTTCCACGCACACGCCCCCCCCGGGCCCGGAGGCCCGCCCCTCCCTCGGTCTGGACCGAGCTCTCTCCCCCGCACCGTTTTTTTTTTCTTCAAACCCCCCCCCATCCCGGCCAAGTCAGTCACGTTGACATCACGTCACAAAAGTCCGAACCCTTCTGCAAGCTGAAGTCGGAACCTAAGCTTCACGCCAGAGCTGCAATGTAACACCACATCAGATGAATAAAACCAACATCGACCGAATTATCCCAAAAAGACAAAGTCAGATTATAGACCACCTGGTACGCCGGTGTCAAGCTCCTCATGCACCGTCTAACGCCGGTTTTCCTTCATGCTGTAGCGTGAAAAAAAATGTCTCCCAACTGCTCGAACATTTCGGTCGTGAGATGTCGAGATGCAGAATATTTTCCAATCCTGTGTAGATCCGTCTCCGAATCCGGCCACAATGTCCAACTCGTATGCCGTGACGTGACGACTTGGGCCGTGATGCTGGATGCATATCCCCCAGCCCTAAACAATTCAAATAAAAAACCGCCGACGAATGCAATCGAATCAAGACGCGTCATGATGAAGCAGACACAGACGCTCTTGCCAGGCTGAGCAGACTGCTTGCCCCGCCACAGACAGTTATCGGACCGTCGTCAGCCTCTTTCTCCTCAGGCGCGGTTGGCGACGCGACTTTCTCAACCTTGGCGACGTGCTCGACCTTTGTTACCGTCTCTTCCTCCTCTTGTTCCTCAACGACCTCCGTCTCAGCTTCCTTCTCTGGCGGGCCGTCGCGACTCGAGGGTGGCTGGACCACGACCCTGGGCAACGCCCTCTGCTCTTGTCCGGGAATCGGCTTCATCTGCAGCCTGTCGAGGGGCACGTCCTCCTGGCCGGTCTGGAGCTTGTAGTTTGCGAGTCCGAGCTTCAACCGAAGAATCCGAGCTTTCTGCAGTAAGACGCCAATCAGCACATGGTTCCCAATCTCACTCGCTCGCAATGGGCCGTACCTGTCGCGCCTCCTCACGCGTCAACAACCTCCTCGGCCTCGACGGCGGCAGCGTCCTGGTCTGCTGCTCCAGGTCGGGCTCGGTAAGGATAGTCGTGTTTTGGGTCGTGTCCATGGCCGAATTATCAAAGACAGAAGACGAGTCGGGCGACGCGGACCTTCGCGATGTCGGTTGCTCTTGTTGCTGTTTTACGTCATTTTGAACTTTTGGCCGTTCCTCATCTTGTGTAATCTGCTCGCTCTGGCCCTGTTGAACGATGATGCATTAGTTTCAATCCCATCTCATCTTCCCGTTCAAGACGGCAAAAGCATCGTCTTACCTCCTTCGCGTCCGCTTCGGGATCCCTCTTCGTCTGTGCGGGTGCAGCAGCAGGAGCCGGCGCGGGTTCTGCAAGTGCGGGTGCGGGTGCTGATGCTGGTGCGGGTGAAGGTGCCTTGACAGGTGCAGGAGCAGGAGTAGGAGCAGACACAGGCTCGGCCTTGAGAGCGGGCGGCGTCTTCGCACTGACGGGCTCCTGGCACTGCTTCTTCTGCGCGACGAGGCTGTTCTCGTCAAAGATGACGGCGCCGAGGGGCCTCTTCAGACCCAACGGCGACTTGATTGGGCTCTTGATGGGAGAGCCAGGTGCTATCGTCTTGTGGTGCAGCTGGCGTTTGGGGGACATCGCGTTGACATTCGCGTCGAGGGGCGCGAGGGCGCGTCTCTTGGCCGGCGATGAGGGGTCCATGGTGTTGATTGTTTGCACCGTGGGTGTTTCCTGTGAGCGGCGGGCGGCGACGAGAAGGAGCAAAGGAAAATGCGACAAACTTGTAATCCTCGTGGATGAGAATTAAGCAAGGGGGAGGAGGGGAGAGGATGGAAGTGAAGAGTGAAGTGTGTGTGTGTGTGTGTGTGTGTGTGTGTGTGTGTGTGTAGAGGTGTAGCTGCAGGACAGAGGTCAATGGGCACCGAATTGCAACCTGAGCGACTTTCGGGGGGAAAAGAAGTGCGTTCAGAGCGTTTCGTGGCTGGGCTGGAGCTGGACCGAACGAATGAATGATCGACAACTGGTTTGCCCGCGTGCAGCTGTAGCAACAAAATAACAGGAGGAATCCACCGGTTTCCAAACAAACAAATAGTGAGATGTTGATGTTGTCTGATGCTCGTCTCAGGCAGAGACTTGGGAGGGGGGTCAAAGAGAGCAAAGAGACAGCCAAAGGGATGAGAGAAGCAAAGCTCTGGATTCTCGACGCAGATGAAAGGGAAACCGAGAAATATGTCCCCGGGAATCAGACACCATGCAAAAAGGAGAGAGGGTAGCGTGTTGTTGACGGGTGAAATGTAAGATTGGAAACGCGTGGTCGAAATATGTAGGGTCGCCTTAGGGCCCGCGGCCGGAAATCGAGTGCTAAAAGCGACGTGTAGCGGTTGTCTTTAGCGCAGTCATGTCGCTGTGAGAGCTTCTCGTCTGCATCCTACAGCGGCTGCTTCCTTTCTTCCCCACCAACACCACCACCACTTCCCGTCACGAACCTCCGAACTCCCATCGCGGGCCGGTGTCTTCCCCTGTCTCTGGTGGTTGGTGGCTGGCAATTGGCGCGTACCCCTGCTGCGGTATCGCGCTCCCAGGCGGCATCCTGTACGTGCCACAGTGTGCTACAGCGCCTTCTTCAGCGTGGAAATAGAACCCAAGCGCTAGAACGCGGGCTTACCTAAACGCGGGCATGCATCCATATGTCTCCAGAGGCGCGTCTGTACTCGCAGGGGTTCACTAGCCACCTCTGATCGCATCCGGTCTAGTCCTGAGGAAAGTGAAATGCAGGTACGGGGTCAGGGTCCACGCTGCTGGGATCGACGTGACAGCTCTAACCATCCTTGATGGGAGGACCAACACTTGTAAATTGCGACCAACACGCGCCATATGCTCAATCATCTTGTCTACCTAGCTAAGTACATGGCATCATCGCAACGCGAAGTCTCGCGGCAAGACTCATTTGACATCAAAGGTCGCCGTGTCACGGGCATTCTCGCAAGGCATGCTCATGTCACCAGCAATGCGAAGGGACGGTTTCGTTTTTGAAGACTCGGGTATCATTCCTCTCGCCCTTAACTTGAGTCGCGCCGACATTCAGTGTCGACGCCAAAAAGAAAACTACCAAGACGTCGGCACCTAATCAATACTATGTAGGGCACGTACAACGCGTTGCCGTCTAGGTAGACGAGCCAAACGACTAGAGATAGAACTGAAATACTGTCCAAAACAAATGCAAAGCACCCACCCTCGTCCAAAGGTCGTGCGTCCCTATAAAAACATCGCTCCCAAAGAGACCAGCCGAGAGGCAGCAGTTACTGCCATCAGACCAACGCCGAAGCCTTGCTTTTCCTGATGCTAAACCATCCCGCCCGTCCAAAGAACCGGCTGGTCATCACTCGTAGGAATCTCCCCCGGGGTATCCAAAGTAAAAATCCAAAAAAAAAACCCGTCAACGTGTGATTCTCCAAAAACTCTCATCCTCCCACTTCTTTTTCCACCAACTTTTTTTCCCCACCATTTTCAAGACGATCAAGACACGTCCAGTGAGTAAAGACTGTTGTCGAACTGGAACGGCTTGCTAAAGTCATTGTTCACTTCGTCCCAGTTGATAAATGGCTCCATGGGCATCGCCTCCTCCAGCATTAGCGCATCGAACTCGCCACCGTTATCGGGCAACGTGTCGAGTCCTTCCATGTTGATGTTGTTCATGTCGAGAAGCAGGTCGACATCAACAGGCTGCCAGTTGAGGTCGATGTCCAACTGGGCTCCTTCCGAGATGTCGCTGTTGGGTTCCGACGATCCGCTGTCCTTGCTCGACTCGGGGGTATCGTTGGGTGTGAGAGACCGGTAAACACCCATGTCGCTGATGACGCCATTGGCGCCGAGCTCGAACTTGCCCAGGTTGTTGAACAGGCTCTGCGGGTCGATCGTGTTGGCCCAAGCATCCATCGTCGGCGCCGGAGCACTCGTCTCGGGCTGCTTGTTCTCGAGCTTCGGCGTCCCGTCGGGCTTGATAACAGGCTTGATGTCCGCTTTTCCTCCCATCTTGCTTCCCGTGCGTTGCATGGAGACATCTCTCGACATCGGTGTCGCTCCGGGGTTGCTTGCCGGAGTCTGGCCCTGCCTGGAGGGGTTCTGTCCCATAGGCTGTGATTGGGGCTCCGTCTTGACCTGCCCGTTGACGTCGAGACCCAGAGAGAGCGCCAGGTTCTCCTGCATGAACTTCATCGGGTCCTCCAAAGGCTTGACGTGCTCTTCCTGGATGTGCGCCTGTCGTGCTTGTTCCGAGGGGAGACCAGTCGTTGCCATCTCGCAGTCCGCCTCCGGGCACAGGAACATGGGCTTCGGCGGCGCCTTGGGTTCCGGCGGAGGCTGCCTCTTGAGCTCGGGAGACCCGGACTTGCTGATCTGAGGCGACGGCGTGGCCTGATTGGGCTGCGGGGGCGTCTCGGTCTTGGTCTTCTTTCTCGGCGGGAGGGTGAGGTTGTCTCTGCTGACCTTGGGCTTGGGCTGCGCGTAGGTAGGTTGCCCGTGCGGGGACGTCGCACCGAACGAAAATGGGGGTTGGCTCGTTGTCGGTGCCGCAGGCGGACCGCCGCTCTTGCTGTTTGATCGGCTGTGCATCTTGTTCAGCGCCTGCGTCTGCTTCTCCAGGTTCGCGGCACTCAACGGAGTAGGCTGCCCGCCCTGTGCAGGGGCTGCATTGGCCTGGTTCGGTCCAGCTTGGCCGCCTTGTGGAGGCGGTGCGTTGCCCTTCTTGGAGAATGTGGCACAGTCTCTGGCCATGCTTTCCAAGAGGCGTCGGACTTCAGCAATCTCAGTAGGCGTGACGCTGAAAACCGGCTTGGGATTCCTCATTTGCTCCCCGTCGGTGAACTGTCTGATCATGCGGAGTCGCTGCTTTTGGTCAGTAATTGCTTGCTAAACGTGGTGGGTTGCTTACAGCTCGGAAGTAGCTCTTTGCGCGCGCGTCATCGCGAGTAGCCGCGTACCATCGGCCCAATGCTTTGCCTATCTTGCCCATGTCAACCACAAGTTTCATCAGCATCTGCATCGTCTCTTGTCGTTGTTCTGGAGACATCGGAATGTCCGGCATCTGCTCGGCCTGCATCGACTTCTGTTCTTCCTGGCCTATCCGCCGCAGCTTTTCAAAATCGGGTTCGGAGGAGCTCATGTTGGAGTTGGCCACCATAACACGAGCCTTCATCTGCTCATACTTCATCTTCTGCTCGGGGGACAAGCTGGCAACCTGCTCAGGAGTGAGGTTCGGCATGCGCATCTGCCCTTGCGGCCGTTGTGGCTGAGGAGCGGTCTGAGGAACATCGGCGGCGTCATCAGTGCTAGGCCGTTTGAGGCTCTTTTGGGCAGTTGCGGGAGAAGGATTGGGAGGCTGCTGGCTGTTTGGTGCTGGACGGTTGTTGTTCCTGGGCCCAGCCGCATTCGCGACAGTCTTCGGATCCGGCGTTGCGCTCTGTTGCTTTGGCGGGGCCGGCTGAGGTGCTTGGGTGGGCGTCGGGGTGGGGTTCGGCGGCTGAGGAGCACTCTGTTGTGCCATTGAAGGTTGCTGAGGTTGAGATGCGGAGATGGGCCCGTTCGGCTGTGCTTGTCCTCCCTGCATGCCCCCGGCCTGTGCTGCCCGCATGCTCATCTCCTTTTGCATCTGAGCCGCCAGCGTTCGTTGCTTAATCTGAATGATGAAGGCTCTAAGCTGGTCATCCGTGAGGCTCGCGACCTTGGGATTTGCCTTGCGGGCGTTCATGATGTCGTGAGGTGTTACCTGGATCAGATGAGCAGGGACCTGGGGCATGTTTGGTGGCATGCCCTGCACCTGACCGGGAACTGCCTGGTTTAGGCCGGCGTTGCCCGGTTGCATGCCGTTCTGCGGGGGTTGAGCTTGAGGTTGAGGTTGTTGCGGCTGTTGAGGTTGCTGAGGCTGCTGGGGGTTAGGCTGCTGAGGCATCTGAGGCTGAGGCTGCGGCTGTTGTGACTGTTGAGGCTGCTGTTGCGGTGCATGCTGTTGTGATTGTTGTGCCTGCGCTGCTTGATTCCTCCTCTCCATCTGTCTCTGCATGTATTGGGCAAATTGCTGTCTTTGGACTCTCTCGAGTTGCTGCTGCATCTGTGGCGCAATGGGGTTCTGCTGGAGCCACGCCCTGAGATCCTTCCACTTGCGGACTTCAGGAGGAGCGCGAAGCTGATTTCCAACCTGTGCTAGTACTGGCGGCGGAAGGTCCATGCTATCCATCATGACCTGATGGGCTGGTGCGAGAGGCGTTCCCTGGTTTCTGAGACGGGCCAACATTTGCTGTTGCTGAGCAATGAGCTGCGGGTTGGGTGCGCCTGGTTGCATCATAGCATTAGGCATGAACTGCCCGTTTGGCATGTTTGGGAACCCGGGTTGCCCAGGCCGGCCTTGCATCTGCTGGTTGTTCATGGCATTCATCCGGTTACGCTGCTGTTCCTGCCACTTGGCCATGACCTCGTGGAGCTTGTCTTGCGGCAACTGCTGGATTGCCTGTCTTTGCTCGGGGCTCATGCTCTGCATCATACTGTGGAACACTGGGTTGCCGTTGAGATTCATGTTTCCAGCCGTAGACATGGGCCGTTGATTGCCCTGGTTGAAACGAGGGTCGAGAGTGCCGGCAAAAGGACCATTACCTGGAGCACCACCCTGGCCATCCATGGGGTTCATGGCACTGGGTGGCCGGCGCATGGGTGTGTTCAAGGTGTTCATCCCGGGGCTCTGGGACGGAGGCGCGCCACCGAGACCGTTAGGTTGGCCTTGTAGTTGCCTGGCCTGCTGCTGTGCCCTCATCTGGGCTGCATGCTGCGACTGCTGCTGCTCCATCTTCAACTGCTGGGCTTGCTGCATGCTGAGTTGTTGCTGAGCTTGAGGTGGTCGTGGCGTCTGGTTTGGACCAGTCTGGTTCGGCATGCCCTGGCCTTGGCCCGCGCCAATTGGCTGTGGCGTGGCGTTGCGTTGCGGGCCATTGCTAGCAGGGACGACCATCTGCCCTTGCTCTTGAGCGAGAATGCCGGCCTTTTGCTGGTTCATGATGCTCTCCATCGTGTTGAACTGGCCAAACTCGCCAGTGCTGCCCTGCATGCCCGCGGCATTCATCATGGCCGGGTTCATTTGCCCACGGCCAGCCTGCAACATGGCAGCCTGTGCCGGGTTCATGTTGGGAGGGAGGCCGCCTTGCTGCTGTCGCTGCCTCTGGATCGCAATGTTCTTGGTCAGACCCTGGAACGCTTGGTGCTGGAACCAAATGAGAACCGGATCTTTGCCCTGGGCGGTGTATTCCTGGGCGCGTTGCGCGAAGCGGGTTTGGACGAGGCCGCGGTAGTGGTTCTTTTGCGGCTCGGGGCACGAGTTGAGGAGCTTTTGCGCGAGCTCCATGACCTTTTGCTGGTCGGCAGGCGTCAGGCTTGCCGCGTCGGTCGGAAGTGCATTTTGCGGCCTTTGCTGTCCACCCGGCATCTGGAACATTTGCTGGTTGGGGCCGATGGGCTGTCCGCCTTGGTTGCCCATATTCACGCCCATCTGAGCCTGTTGAGGAATTTGCGACGCTTGCATTTGGTGCTGGAGGTGCTGAAAACCTTGCTGCGGGTTCTGCCCCATCCCCCGACCCATTTGGTTCTGCATAGCGTTGTTTTGGCTCATCATGAGCTGCTGCTGGGCTTGGGCGGCCGCCTGCGCTTGGAGATTGCTGCTGAGATTCTGCTCGTTCGCCTGTCGTCGTCGAAAAAATTCATTCGTTTTGTTGCTCATTTGCGCTTCGTATTGCGCCTGGAAACGGATCAGAATTTGTCATGTGTGGGAAGAGGTCGGATTGAGGCTCGGGTCCAAAAACTTACTTTGTCGGCTGACTTGTTAAAAGCCTCGCGTTCAAAGTTCACGCCGACTTCTGCTGCCTTCATGAACTCGATGTTGTTAACAGCAAGTGCAATGTTGGTAATACTGTGCAGGTGACGCCATGTTAGCCGTTGCGTAAATGGAGCAAGGTCAAGCGAGGTGCGAAAAGCGGGACGGAACGTACAGATTGTGGCACTTAATCATGCGTTCCTGAACAGCAACGCCAGCCTGCCAACCCGAGTGTATCTGTTGCTGATTGATCATGGTAGTGTAGAGAAACTGGTTCAACTGGACCGGGGAGGGCCGGGGGGCACGCTGTTGCTGCATCATCCCCGCCGCTCCCGCCATGTGCTGCATGTTTGCGGCCATGGCCGCTTTCCACGGGGTTTGAACAAGTCCTCTGCGCCAATTCCTACGCCGTTGCGGGTGGTCAAGAGGAGGTCGTGGACCGTCGAGCGGTTGTCGAGACTATGGCCGCTGTCGGGTTGATAGTTTGGGAGGTGAGTGTCGGGCAAAAAATTGAGGTGCCCAGGCAGGTAAAAGCGGTTTTGGTTATTTTTCGAACAATGAGGCGAACAGCCGTCGACTGCCTGCAGGATGCCTAGCGACTTGCTGCGACAAGCATAAAGAGCTGGGCGGTTGATGCGTCCGACAGTAAGTGACGTGTGGGTCCTGGATGTCGTTGCGGTGACTGTTGATATGCTACGGGCGTCTCTCAAGTCGATCGCGCGTGTTCGTCAGGTAAGATGTTGCAAAAGTGGTAGGCAGCGTGACGACGCAAGCGATGCGAAGCGTGGTTTGGTGAATGTCGTCTCGTGTTTTTTGTTGCCAGGATTACGTGGAGTCGAGGAAGGGGATCCTAGAGCGTGTGTACTACAGACTCCGAGATTCACTCTTTCGCGGGAAAAACGAGATGGGAAGAGCAGTCGATGTCGAGTCGGGGAAGTAAATGGAAGGAAAGCGGGAAATGACGGCGAGGCGTGAGTGTCGGCGGTGGGTTGTTGTGGTGGTTTTGGGCGTGGGCGTCCCAGGAGCGGCGGAAATTCCAGACAGTGGAGGGTGAGCCGCAAGTCGAGACAAAGCGAGCCGGGGGTCGTTCGAAAACAGGACGATGCGAGAAGGGCCCAAAGAAGCTATCCAAAAAAGCAGCGATTTCGGCTGGCGATGAGAAGAACAGGTCGAGAGTCGTCGGTTTGACGTGGGCAGACACGACCTCGACTCGACGACGTGGAGGTGTGGTGGTGGTGGTGAAGGAAGAGAGAAGAGGCGGATGGGAAGATGTTTGTGAGCGAGAGTGACCCAGGACTAGGCAAGTGAGGTGAGCACAGCACAGCACAGCCAGTGGCAGACGAAGGTACACGCAGCACCGGGGCATGGGCATGGCATGGGCATGGGCATGGGCGGATGAGGTGGGCAGCCCACTTCAGGGTAAGGTACGTACGGGTTCAGGTGCAGTACTTCTGGTACATGTGGTACTTGGGGTGACTGAGGTGTGCCTCTGAGGGTGAGTCCCGTCTGTGACTGGCTTGACTGGGTACGGCAGAGGACGGGATCGTTGGGCTTGGTGGAGTGGCCGTCCTCTTTGGAGAGATGGGCTTTGCTGGATCAGTGCCAGTTGATTTAGGTTCTGGTGGACTCAGGATTGGCGCCTTTTTAAGCGTGGAGCCTATTTTTGCCTGTGGTCGACTGGGGTGGCTGAAAGTGAAACGAGATATGTTGGTGATGTTGACGATGATGGTCGACGTGGTTCTGAAGATATTATGTCGGATCAGATGAGAGTAATGCTGAAGTAGATTAGAACGGCGGCACACCGGTACGAGACGCGGTGGACATGTCAAAAAAGAGAGGGAGAGAAGGAGAGGGAGGGGGGAGAAGGCGAAGGAAGAAGATAGAGATGGTGAGTGAGTGAGTGAGTGAGGTGTGTGGACAGGACAGGATGGGATGGATGAAGACGAAGAGGACGTGTGGACGTGAGTGATTGAGTGAGTGACGGGGGAAAGCAGAGAGGCAGACAGATGCAGCGCAGAGCAGCGCGCAGAGCAGCGAAGCAAACCAGGACGGAGAGAGAAGAGAGGATGGGGCCTGCAGGGCGGCGAGATGCACGGTGGAGACGACAGGGCGTGCGAGCAGACGTGGGCGAGGTGGATGATGGGACGGGATTGGATGAGACGACCCGGGAAGGGGGTGTGTGGGTAGCCAAAGTGGGGTGGTGGGAGGTACGCAGTAGAGGAGCAGGGCAGCGCAGGGCAGGAGGGCAGGAGCACCAGGAAGAGCCAGGTACCGACAGGCCCGGGATAATGCGACAGGTACTTTGCTGAGGACCTGAGGACCTAGCCATACGGGTGTTGAGTATTCGTGCTTGGGACGAGGTACATATTGCTACCTTATCTCTATTCGTAAGATAGACTGCATAGGTTGTAAGGCAATAGGTAGAAGGCAGTGTATACTCAGCTGGCTGCCTTGACATTACGAACCTGAACTGCGGGCTGCAGAACCAGGTGCAGATTAATACGGGTATGTAGAAATATAAAAATACTGCGTTCAGATGAGCTCCAAACGAAACGGCGAGATACAGGGCAGTTGTGAGACTGGACTGGCAATCATGGGTCGAGTGCAGTACTTTACTGGGTAGTAAAGTACCTACACTACTATAGTACTCTCGAGTGGATGAGCCGCCCGTCGTCTTATGCGCCAGCAACTGGCATATGAGTGCCGATGCTTGACCAACTACTACCTACCTCAATGTACTTACTGCACGTCTGCCGTTCTTCTGCTGTTCTTTCCCCACGGCCAAGGTAAGATATCTTAGCCACCTCAGTAAATATTCCAGCTTATCGGCACAAAAGTCTCTTACTTTTACTTAAAAGACCAACTCGGCTTATGAATCCGTACCCTCGATGAAATGACAGCAAGGTTGGTGAGAGGAAGCAAAGAAAGGGAAGGGTCGTCCAAGGGGCCAGCGGGCGGGCTGAAGTGGGTTGGCTCCAAGGCACCTGGCGGAAAATGGGGTCCCCTCCTCGCCGTCGTCGTGGTTGGCCTGCTTTATTTTTTATTTTTTTCTCCCTCACTCTTGGGGGAAGGAACGAGGGACGAGGGGAAGAGGGGGGTAGGGATGGTAATGGAAGGTACTGGTGACAGGGGTGTGATTACATCGCAACTGGTCGATTCCCTCCTCGCGTTCCTGCCAGCGCCAGCGCCAGCACCACCACCACCAACGCCAGAGAAGAACAAGAGAAGACGAGCAGACGGGAGCGCAGAACATCACCAGAAGCACATTCGCCAGATCCAATCCGAGAGAGACGATCCATCGCTTTTCGCTGCTTTCGCCTCACTGGCACTGGCTCCCGTCAACCTCGACTTCGACCTCTACACTACCTCGACCTCGACGAGATGGAACGCCCAAAACCATCACCCCTGCTTCTCTACCCTGTCCGCTTTACCTCACCACAGTCATGATACCCTGCTCCGGACCCTGTTCCAAGAAGCCTGTCCCTTGATGCGCACGTCTGGCGGCACTTGCAATGTACCGGTCTATCGTCGCAGCGGTGAGCGAAGCGGTCAACACACGTTGTCTGCTTGGCTTGACCTTGCTAACACGATACACAATCCGATTCCAAGCCATGTGCGCCTCTACTGAAGTAGGTCAGGCACTCAGGTCAGCGACTTACACCAATACGCACTTACACCCAACCAGCTACTGATACCTACCCATCTTCGACAGATACCTCCACCTACATACTCTACAGAGTAACGCTCCTTCCTTCCATCCATCCATCCAGGAGGCAAAAAAGAACAGGCCGAAAGGACAAAAGACGTCGGATGGCGGTGGTTGGTGCGAGCAGCGTGCGCTGCCTTGCCTCGCTTCTCCGTCCAGACCATGCCAGTCGACGCCAGAGACAGACCGAGAGACTCCACGCCAGGACCAGGGTCAGAGCCAAAGGCCGGGCCCTACGGATACTTCAGTACCTACGCACCACACGCCCGAGGCCAGGTACCTCTCTTCTCCTCTCCTCTGAGGCCATTCCGAAATGTTTGCAGACACTGGCAGACTGGCTCTACCGACGCCCTGCTGTATGCTTTGGTACATACAGCTAACTGCTGTCATCAATGCTCAACACGAATCCACACGAGGAGGATGAAGCCATGTCGACACCATATGTCGACACTTTGCGACGCGCCCATCACCATGGAAAGATCGTGGGACGCAACCCCATGCCCATCTCTGGAAAACCCCGGTCACGAGTCTCAGTTGACGGCGATTCACATCACCCGGTGAGCAGGCCAGCCGGCAGCGAGCGGTGCGGACACGCCACGGCTCCTTCACGCAACCTTACCAGATACCAGGGACCGACGGGAGGGACATGCCCCCGGGCAATCCGTCCACTGAGGAATGCCAAATGCCTTCTTTCTGACATTCGACACCTCGATGCCTTTCATCAATCTCATCCGACGACCAACACCCCAGGCCCAACCGGCTACCGTGCGGTTGGACTTGACATTCCGATGCCAACGCACGTCAGCCTTTTCGGATCCAATGGCCAAGATACATTCTTTGGCTCCTTCACGTCAACCCTCCAAACCGTTCGCCATTGACACCGCCATTGGCTACATGTCTCTCCAACCCAGCCATGGCAAGACATTGGCCCACAACACAGTTGCTTCTAGGTCGGCCTACAGTCGATTTCGGGCACTGCGTTTTGCTTTTGCAACTCTTTTCTTTTTTGCCCTCTTCTGCCTCGTTTGCCGAGCGGGAGAGCGAACGGGATGCGCAAGCCTTCATTCCTCTTCCTTTCTTTTGCTTCCATTCTCAGTTGAACCATCCTCCCGTCACGACTCCGGAATTCTCATTCGTCGTTTCTTTCCCCATTGTCCATTTCTGCGCGACCCGGCAACACGGTCTTCAAGTCCGAGTCCTTCCCGCTCCCACATACTGCCTACATACATCGATTCACGTTTCGCCCATCGCCTACGTTCTTTCTTCTTGTCCATCACTCTCTCGTTTCCTTCTTTCCCTCATCTAACATGCCGCCAACTGGCAAAAACAAGTTGTAAACAGGGTAGCGACGTGGATCATGAGGCCCTTGCATTGGAGATAAATCTCGCCAACTGACAAGAAGACAACCTCACATGGCGTCTGTAACAGGGAAAAAGCCAAGTGCAAAACTGGGGCCGTGGCGCCTAGCGCCTCATAGTAGCCAGGAAGAGCACTCGCAGTCAACATGAGGACCTGGACGGGACGGGCCCTCTGGCCGTTCTGGGGGGCTTCACTTCATCGCTCTGGGAAAAAAAAAATGAAAAAGCTCGAGGCTCGTGGCTCAATGTCTGCTGTCTTTTCCTGCACGCTACGCACAGCTTTCTGGGATAATCCC